GTTCTACCGTCTGTGTGTTCTAATCTCAGTCCAAAAGCACCTTACAAATGAACTGTGTTCACACTCAAAAAAACTGTTTGTTCTGATATTTTAATGTGATATAATGCAATATTTCCTTTCACGTATATTAGCGGTGTTTTTCTTGAAAAGATTTCTTATTTCATACTGATTTCATAGTGTGGTTTTTGTGATATTGATAGATAATAAGTATTATATCCATGAAACCTTTCCACCTTATTCCACAAAATAGCAATGTCTATATTGTCAAGCAGTTTTAGTTATTCTTTATTCTGTTTTGTGTGCTGACGGTTAATTACAATAAATGACCTTTTCTGGATGCTTTAGATTTTACCTAAAACAAAATAAATATTAAGCATCCTTTCTTAAAATGATTAATGTTCATAATACTATATAAGGCTCCTCTTGGTTTAATCTTAACAGAAGAACAAAACAAAATAGTCCCATCAAAACAAGTTTTGTCAGGTTTATAAGATATTCGTTTAGCATAGAGTATCAGTGCTCAGGACGCATGGGGTCATCAACTTAATTAATGCTAACTTAAATATCATCTGATATTAGATTCTGTGATATCATGATGAATCTGGAAAATATCTTAATCCTGAATTTTATCAACATCACAATTTTTGATTTTATCAGTAACACAATATCACAATAGCACTATATGAGACCAATGTATCACCCAAAGGATATACATGTCTATGTCTAGGGACACAGCCAGAGACCTCTCAAATAAAGAGCTCACAGGGTTGTGTGGTTGCGCAAGTCAACAGCCAAGTCCCAGACAAACATGGCAGCATTTCAGAGCCAGGACAGAGAGGAAGAGTGGTTCTTTCAGGAGAAGCTGAGGGATTCATGCTGTTTAATGGCTTCTTATTGTCTATAACTCACAAACTCCACAACAACTGACAATTTCAGAGTCAGCACGGGCTCAGTGAAATAATACAGATAAACCATCGACCCATACTGTGGAGATATCCGTGAGGTGACAGAGAAGATCAATGAGACAGAAAGTCTGAGAGCATGTGTGTGTGTGTGTGTGTGTGTGTCCAGTTTCTAATGTTTGACATCTGCTACTGACATAATGCAGGGTTGAATGAGCTGAACAGAGGGAGAAGGCTATTTGTCATTCGTCACATGACCAAGAGCCAATCAGTTAATTGTATTGAGCGTCTTTGCTAGCCCAACCTGTGCCCAGCATTGCCTGTTCCACTGGAGAGCTGAATAATTTAAAAGGGGGAGATCCATGATGTGCAGTGTCTGTGTGTGTGTGTGTGTGTGTGTGTGTGTGTGTACTTGTTTTTGCACAATTTTGGGACAAACATCCTGATGTTGAGAGAAACTTAGAGAAAAACAGTACTACCACACAGTACTGTGCAAAAGTCAAAAACCCTTCACTTATTTAATTTCCAGTCAAAACAGCCACTGAGTACAAATCATTCACTTTTTAAAAAACAGTAAACATATATTTTCACAGAAGCCTCAAGAACTAAACATAATATGATTGTTTCAGTATTTATTGTGTCCACTCTTTGCCTTTATTACAGCTTCCATTCTTTTCAGACAACATGCTTTCAGTTTTTCAAAGAAATCTGCAGGGATATTTTTCACACTTCTGAAGTTCAGTCTTAGAAGTTGGTTGCATTTTCTGTGTCTCTCGATCTAATTAATCTCAAACATTTTCAGTGATGTTGAGATCTGGACTCTGGGGTGGCCAGTCTATTGTTCTGAAAACGGCACGTTATTTGTTTGATTTGCAAATGTTATTCTTTTTGTCCATTTCCTTTTCTTAGTAACTGCTTCTTGACAGCTACACATCCTTTCAGCCCTACAGTGTTGAGTAAGGTTAGGTCTTCTCACAGTGGAAGGAAGGACAGGAACACCTGTGGATTTTCTCAGATCTGAAGTAAGAGTGGAGCTTGATGTTCTCCTCTCTCTCAAAGATGAAAGCTTTAAGTACTGTTTATCTGATGGTGACAGTTTATGTAGTCTATTAGGTCTTTCATGGTTGTTAAGAATTTTTTTTATATCTATTAATATGGTTTTTAACTCTCATTTTGAAAACTCATGTTTTTCACTTTCTTTCCTTTGACTTTCCCCTTCCTTATGAAAGTGGATTGTCTCATATCAGAAGTTCATCAGAAATATGTCCTGAAAAAATTAAGAACTTGGACATGATGGCTGTTTTGACTGGGAATTAAATCAATGGAGGGTGGTCCCACATTTTTGCGCATTACCGTACAGTGTCAGGTCCAACATATTTAACAAGCCATATGTAAAAAATTGAAAGGGCCAAACCATTTCTTTTTGGTTACTGAGGTTAAGGACAAGGTTAGATTCAGGGTTAGGATTAGAAAATTCTTACTGCATATAGATACATATCTATAATATATATGTGGTACATTATTATTACTATTAGGATATAGGTACCTACATGAACACACACACACATCTATATGGGACATATGTATGACCCCACGTCCTGATAAAGTATACAAACAAGCGAGTGCATTTGTATGTGTGTCTGTGTGTGTGTGTGTCTGCGTGTGTCTGAAATCGAGCGCACCCGAAGGAAAGAGAGATAGCAAGATGAGCAAGAGGTGCTTTGCCCGACATGTGTCCACACTGATAAGTCACCGCTGTGTGACCTAATCACTTCAGTGGTGTACATTTGACTCCTACACTGAAAAAACAGTGCACTGTATTTGATTACTTGATTCAAATATATACACTGATTTTAAATAAAAATATATAATACATTCACAGAGTTTTGCATTTAATCTTAATTTACTTTTTGCAATAACTGTGCTATTGCAATATATTTCATCAATGTGGAAATAATGTACACATCTGAATGAAGTGAAAGCACTATTTTTTAGTGTAACAGAAGCTCGCTGCTTCACTGCCGTATTATTTGAGAGTTGCTGTAAAGCAGCTGTGTGTTTACAAAAAGGGCTGCTGTATACGGTCACCTACTGGAAGACCCTGCCTGGTATTCTTCTCCAAGATGCAATCAATCATGGCATGAACTGTCTCCGGCAATTCGCCCAGATGCCACTGAACCTATTTCACTGGCACCAATGCAAAACATACGGCTAACTCCACCTCAACAGTACACACTGCCTGAAATGAAAAGTGCCCCCCTTCGCACACTGAGCTCAGACGTACACACAGCCAGCTCTAACATCTGTTTCCCTCACAGCCTTACCTGACTGTAAGAGACTGAAAACTAACCATGAGCCACCCTCGAACGACTGAGCTGTCTCCGGCTCTGAAAATATTACTCTTTGCTCAAGGTCCCCAGCATCCATCATGTTTACAGGCACTAATAATGTGCAAAGCTTCAGCTGGAAATGCCACAGCCAGTGCCTTCACACTACAACACCTACAATATATAACCACCTTCAGCCACTGCACATCCTCTACCATTCAGAAGTCTGGTTTAAAAAACATTTACCGTCGAGATTAACTCGCCTGAGCGACATTTACTCACAGAGCTGATGCCAAATGTCCAGCCAGCCTCTCTCTCTTGATGGTTAAAACATAGGAGCTCATTATCACTCACAATGAAAGCAAAAGATTTTCTTAAATAAGAAAAACACGATTTGCCTCGACGTCTTTTCAAGCCGCCATGGCCTTGAGTTTAAAATCAAAACCTGAGCGGTTTAAGAAGCTTTTTTCCGCTGTGATAGTCACCACATGCCGGTGAAAAGCTCTGTGTGACATTCCTCTGACCACAAGCCTGGCGAGGTTTAGAGAAAACTTTCAGATGCAGCATTAACGCTCACCGTTTTATAGCCGTTACTTTTACACTGAAAGATGTTTACTCGTTAGCTTAGCGTGACGACACCTATTAGTCCTGACAGCTTAGCGGCGCTGGCTAACTTTTTTTCAGAGAGGTTTGGTCGCCTTAAGGTACACATTTAACGCTGCGGAGTAAAACCTTTTAAGACTATTTTCCATTTCCATGAGTATTTTCATGCTTTCCGTGCTAAAACACCCATATTTCGCTGTGTTTTCAGAAGAGCGACCGCTAAGAAATTTAAGTCTAAAAGTGTAACGTTAGAAGAGAAACGTGTCTAAATTCATGGCGTTTCGTACAGTTAGAGATACCAAAAATCAGATAGTTTATTACTCTAATATCATTAGATATATGTTATTATTATTTATACAAAATAATTATCATATTTGGCGTGAGTGCTGAGCTGGACTGAGCTGTGAGTCCTACCGTTAATGTTACTCCTCAGTCTGTAATCAAACCCGTTCCGCCCTCCAGTGAGAGTGAATCAAACCGCTCCCTGAGGTGAGAGCGCTAACCGCCGCTAACAGAGACACCACTCGGTGTGAAGAGGTTACACTGCATAAAACCGGGCTTAATCAATAAAACAACATAAAAGTACTCATGAAACGTAAGACATATTCAGTATTAGCAATATCAACACCACAGTACACCTCACATTTAGGTTCAGCGGAGGCTAAACCTCTCACTCATCGTCTAACTGAACCGTTTGAAAAGGGTCGACAGCGCCGGACACACATCTAACCTTACACCGCCTTACCGTCTGACCCTGAAACTCTGAAACTAACGGACACCGACTGTCTCTCAAACTAAATGTCGCTTTAAACCTGTTTCCGTTTTCTGAAGCAGACTGTAAGCTGTAGAGTAATAAAGTGGACTTTATTCGTCGACTCATACTGTCTACACTGTCTAGAGTATCTCGACATATCTGCTATGTTGGTGAACGTTGTGGGAGCTGTTAATTCAGCGCTAATGAGCGTTAACGGCTCTGTGGTCTGTAACGTTCCTCCCGGGCATCTCCCTCCTTCACAGCGGCGGAGGATAAAGTAGCCCAGCAAGTCAAAGTGCCACAACTGAACACGTAAGTAAATGAGTCCCGTTTTAAAAACTTTCAGATACAAATAAACAGGAGAGAAAAGAAAGTCGGGAACTTTTTCTGACAGCATGGAAACGGCCGTGTTACCTGGCTGGTCGCGTCCTGTGGCAGGTTCTTGATGAGGATCTTCCTCCTGTTGCTCAGCTCCCGGCGAGTTTTCTCCAGCCTCTTCTCGATCTCCTCCGGCTCCAGGTCGGGCAGGTCCCGCAGGATGGTGCCCTCGGCCGCCGCGTCTTCCTCCTGGCGGCTCTCGGGGCTCTCGGAGCGGGGGCACGGCGAGCTGCGCTGGGTGAGGGCGAGCGGATCCGGCGGCTGGATGGAAGAAGCTGCCGCCATTTTGAGGCGCTCTGTGGAGAGTGAGCCGGAGCAGCAGCGCTAAGGTGGGCGAAACCCATCCACACACACACACAAACACACACACACAGAGAGAGAGAGAGAGAGAGAGAGAGAGAGAGAGAGACGTAAGGAGAGAGATTGAGTAAGTAAAGAAAGAGAAAGAGAAAAGAGATATTACACACACACACACACATATATATATATATATATATATATATATATATATATATATATATATATCGGTTCCTTGATCGTGGTAGTGATAATGATGGTAAAAATAATAATAATGATAATAATAATAACTATCATAATGTTTATTATAAGTATTATTGCTATTAGTGCTGGTACTCGTGTTACTGTTTTATTACTGTTATTATCGTCTCATTAATGTTGTCTCTTACTTGCTAATATTCCCATTAACTATCACTTCTAATGCTTTTGGGTGTTTTCTGATACAAAGGGTTGAACTGGTAGAACCTTCCTTTCCATTACTTTGGCAATAGCATAGTCATTTCCAAAAAAGCCATCTTGCATCAAGAGAGTGAAAGTCATTGAGTGACTGAGAGAGAGAGAGAGAGAGAGACCCTCCCAGGTCATTTCTGTGTAGTACAGCTGGCGACCTCCACTGATAGAAATCTGAACAGTGCAGTGGGTCAAAAAACTCTCTTAATAGCTTGTCTCTGCAGTCTGATCTTCCTCTAATAGACATTTATCTTCAAGCCGCTGTAACCTTTCACACACACACACACCAGCATTATGGAGGTACCAAATCTTCTGATCCTGTAAACGGGAACCAGGGCAAAAATTCCCCATCTGACACACCACTCTGTGTCCGCGTTGACATCACTCCTTGGAAGGTAATTCATCAGTTTTTCATCAGAGTATTCAAAGAGATAACTGAAGAGACAGCACACGCTGAAGTCCTCTCCAAATGGAGCCAGTAGAAAATCTTTCATTTGTTTAGCTGCATTTGATGTGGGAATGAATGACAGGGTGTCAGAGCGCCAGGCCGTCTCTCGTGGGTGTGCACAGACTAAGCGTTAAATGCCATCCTTTGGCACTCTCTCTCTCACAGCAGCCCTCAACATGCCCATGAATGAGCGCTTTTCATTTTCAACAGCACACTGCAAAGCACCTTAGCAATGTTTAGAAAAGGGTGCTCGCCTAAAAGGAGGAAAAAAATCAAGAGCATGCTGTATTATTTCTAGATTTTGTTTAGCCTAGCCAGGGAGAGTGCCTTTGTAATAAACAGGAAAGAAGGTGCTTTACATTTGTAATATCAGTTATAAACTGATGCACATTATGAGACCACCATGGTGACCTCAAAATACTACCTGAAAAAAAAAAACAGCCTACTAGTTTGAAGTGTGCCACTACAGTGCCATGAACAATGTGTATGTAATGTAATACATAACAATACTACTGGCCATTTCCAGTTATATCCATCACACAGTCATTTTCTGTTGCTATCTATTGTTGGGTATTTCCACTGACTTCTGTATTACTGATACTGTGAATAATCCGTGGCACCTACAAACAGCCCCATCCTTTACCTCAGCAACGCAAAGAAGTCCTATTTTTTCTGATTAAAAGACAAAATCACAAAATAAAAGCCTTTTTTGAGAAAAGAAAGCAACCAGGTATCCCCCGTCACCCATTTTTTTTTATCATCCAGCCACTTGGTACCTACAAAGAGCTAACTATACACACACAAACACACTCAGATCATCTGCGCTTGCGTAATGTTTGATTCATGGACTTACAGTTGCCAAATCCAGGAAACTGTGCACATTATGAGATCACCATGGTGACCTCAAAATGCTTCCTAAAGGAAAAGCAGCAGTTCCATGGCAGCAGCGCTCCACTCCACAGCACTACATACAAACCCTCAGAGCAAAGCTGCACAGCTAAACGTGTGTGTGATTCAGCGCATCACTGAGTGGGAGTAGAAGAGACGAGGATATTTCGAATGCAGGGAAAAGTGGCGTGTGGGCGCCGGCGAGCGCCGCAGCGGGCGAATGGAGCACCTGGGATGCGCGCGTTTATGTAAGGAGCTGATGTGATGAGGCCTTGAACTCTTCTCCAGCCGGGACCGCTGAGTGGAGCGCGGGGGCGGCACTGCTGCACCAGCCCCAAACCACCGGCCATTTATTCATGCACGCATCTCCTCCCTCACATTGTGCCAAAGCACATGTTTATGCATATTTACTGACAGGAATGTACTGTAAAACAAGAAAACAATAGACAGAACATTCACTGATTAGCCCCTCAAACACTAGACATAATATTCATTTATTAACATTAAGGCTTATTATTCTGTAACTACTACGAATTACTTAGTAACTACTGAGAAACTAATATGTAACAGGGTGTAGATATAAAGATAGGTAGATAGATCTGCAGATAAACAGATAAATTGTTTAACAATTTAACAATAGATTAATAGGTAAACAGACACAAAGATATATAAACAAACAGATCAATTGATTTAGACAGATTGATATGCTAGATTGATAAACAGAAACAGGTTGATTGTTTGATAGATTGATAATATCAATCAGTTTGATAATTACAGGCAGATCGTTTGATGAGATAAATTGAGAGATAAACTTTTTGGTAGATAGTCTTTTAGCTAAACAGATAGACTCATAGAAAGATAAAGAAATAGGTATATAGAAAGACAGACTAATTACTAATCTCAGAGACAATTTATGTCTTTTTTGTGACAGAACAGTAGTGAGGAAGGTCAGTCTGGACTTGTTGACCAGTCCTTAAGAGATGCAATTGGTTTAAAAGGTCTGCTTGCACATGCCTCACATTCAAATGCTCAAAGTATCAATTCAGATTGACTGCCTGGATGAAGGAAACACCTAAGTGCTCGAGTTCAGAACAGACTTCTGGCATGCAGAGAGGACTATATTGTGAACAGAACTGCTCCAATTTTCTGTATCACCCCCCCACCACACACAAAAGCCTCCCCTCCCGTAATTGAAGCAGCATATTTACACTGCTCCATCACATGAGCCTTAGGAACGTAAGCAAATACAGACTGTGATCTAAGATGAACTACAGTTTACACAGAGTGAAGAACTGCTGTAAAATCAAAAGAAAAAAAACAAGTTCAAATTCACATAAAACAAGGTGAATTTAAATAACATGAGATATGTTTACAAAGACCCCTACAACTCAAAGCTAAAAGCTGAAATTTTCAAAATAAAGATCTATAGCCCCAGTATCTTCAGCACCCTGGAGAGTTTAGAGAGAGGTTACTGGTAGAATTTTAATAAGCCGAATGCAAGAAACCAACAGCCAGTGATACAAAGAACAGCAAGGATACAAATGAATGATGTTGTTTACTGTTTGTAAACAATAGGAAAAAAAAATATATCTATGGATTTATGGGATATGACTTCTACTTGATAAATGAGCCCTCTTTGCACCCATTTGAAACAAAGTGACCTCAACCTCCACTCTCCAGTCCACAGGTGACATGGGGCAGTGCGATTTTTTTTTCGTCAGCTTTAGGTTTTAAATTTGCCCACTAAAGTGTCCTTGAGTAAAGAGTTATAGAACACACACTGTTGTGCAGCATCATGAATCAACTCCAAAACATAAGTTGAATGGAGCGGACAAAAAAATGCAGAATGCTTTTATCAATGATTCAATGTGAAGCCAAGCTGCTGTATGATCAGCCACCCATGGGCAAAAACTAAAATGTTGGACAATAATAATTAGACTATTAATATTAATATTAATAGGCCAATGATAAGCTGTTTTGGGTCACAGTTTACCTGAACATACAACCCTGTTTCATTTGGATGCTGTGCAAAATGTAAATACAAAACAGATTGCAATGATGTATAAATCACTTAAAACCAACATTTAATTGAAAGTAGTACAAAGACAACATATCAAATGTTGACATTTGTTTGTCATAGTTTTAGTTTCATAATGCGGCAAATGTTTTCAGTAGGTGAAAGGTCTGGACTGCAGACAGGCCAGTTAGGCACCTGGACTCCTAATACAAGCCATGCTGTTGTAATACGTACAGAATGTGGTTTGGCATTGTCTTGCTGAAATAAGCAAGGCGTTCCCTGAAGAAGACATCTGGAAGGGAGCATATGTTGCTACAAAACCTGCATATATCATTCAGCATTAATGGCACCTTCACAGATGTGCAAGTCACCCATGCTATGTGCACTAATGCACCCCCATACCATCACAGATGCTGGACTTTGAACTGTGCGCTGATAATGAGCTGAATGGTACCTCTCCTCTTTAGCCCGTAGGATGCGGCGTCCATGATTTCCAAAAAGAATTTCAAATTTTGAATTGTCAGTCCACAAGACACTTTTCCACTTCTTCTACCCTTTTCCAAGTCACACTCACTTAAATGAGGTCGGGCCCAGAGAAGGCGGTGGTGTTTCTGGATCCTGTTTATAAATGGTTTCTTCTTTGCATGGTAGAGTTTTAACTTTCATTTGTGGTTGCAGTGACAAACTCAGTTCACAGACAGCAGTTTTTCTGAGCCCGTGCAGTGATTTCCACTACAGAGTCATGTCTGTTTTTAATGCGGTGCTACCTGAGGACCAGAAGATTGCGGCCATCCAATGTTGGTTTTCTGTCTTGTCCATTGCATACAAAGATTTCTCCAGATTCTCTGAATCTTAATGACATTATGTACTGTAGATGATGACATCCCTAAGTTCTTTGTTATTTTACATTGAGAAACATTATTCTTGAATTGTTGCACTTCTTGCCAGTGCTGTCTTTCACAGAGTGGTGAACCCCTCACCATCTTTTGAAAGACTTAGCCTCTCTAAGATGCTCTTTTTATGCCCAATTATGTTACTGACCTGTTGCCAATTAATCTAATTAGTTGTAAGATGTTCCACCAGGGGTTTTTAGCAAACTTGTTGCTGGCATCAAATTTAAAATGGGCATACATTTTTCTAAAAACAATATATTTACTCAATTTCAACATTTGACGTGTTTGTACTATTTTTGATTAAATATAGGGTTTAAATTATTTGCACACCGTCGCATTCTGTTTTAAATTATATTTTGCAGTGTCCCAACTTTTTTGGAAATAGGGTTGTATATGTTTCTAGTTGATTGTTTCAAATAATATTAATAATTAGTTTATATAGTATCAGTTGCATATAATAATCAGTCCAGAAAAACATTTTACAAGTCATCTTTTTTGATGACACAACACATATACACAACATATATACAGTACTGTGCAAAAGTCAGAGACCCAGTTCATTCATTTTTCAGACAGATTAGCAATTAAGTACAAACTAATCATTTTAAAACACAAACTATGTTTAACAGGAAATTACACAGTAAATTACTCAATAACTAAATATAATGTTACATTGTTCTGTGTGCCCACACTTTACCTTTATTACAGCTTCCATTCTTTTCAGAAAATTACCTTTCAGTTTTTGAAAGAAATCTGTAGGGATATTTTTTCGTACCTCCAAAGTTCAGTCTTAGAAATTGCATTTTCTGTTTCTCATGATCCAGGTAATCCCAAACACATTCAGTGATGTGAAGGTCTGGACTTTGGGTTGGTGAGTCTACTGTTCTGAGAACACCAGCAGCTTCTTTGATTTGCATATGTTTTTCTATTTTCTTTTCTCAGCATCAGCTTCTTGACAGCTACACATCCTTTCAGGCTCATAGTGTTGCATTGTCTTCTCACAGTGGAAGGATGGACAGAAACACCTGTGAATTTTCAGATCTGAAAAAAGAGTGGAGCTTGATTTACTCCCGTCTCTCAAAGATGACAGCTGTATGTGCTGTTTTATCTGATGGTAACAGTTTTGGTGGTCTACCAGGTCTTACACAGCTGTTAGGAGTCAATAATTTTATGAACTTCAATTTACAAAACTGTTGCTTTTTCACTTATTCTCCTTTGACTTTTCCTTTGCTTATGCAAGTGGATTATCATCTATCTAATCCATATGTAATGAATATGTTGGACATAATGGCTGTTTTGACTGGAAAGTTAATAAATGAAGGGTGGTCTCCTTACACATACTGACAAAGCTAGTAGTGCATTTCAGTGTGTATGAAGTCCATCATCCTCTGCATATTATGTAATACACTGCGTGTGGCCTTTGTCATAAAATAAATAAACACAAATACCACCTTTGCAACCAGTTAGCAAACTTATGCATGAGAGTGAAACACTGCTTGTCTTCTTCCTGTGGCCTTAATGTTGTGCTGTCATTATCTGGCTCTGTATTTATGGGTCTCAGCAAGGTGTTAACAATGTAGGTCAGTAAGGGATTGATCATTTCACAATGAAACAGGATTGTGCTAGAAACCTCTGCTCCAGGAGTACAATGTTAATCCTGTCCTGTATATTTTACTGTTCGGCTGTGCCCTTTCACGCTAATCTCATATCAGTGTCACTCAAAAAATGGAAAATCTCATTATTCAACATTCAAAATGAGGCCAACCAGTGAAAGTGAGAAAATGTGTTTAGAACTGAAATGGTTTTAAATATCAGTCCATTTCCTAGAGGTCGATCCAGAATTATTGGCACCCTTATTGAAATTCACTGATCATTATTTTATGATCTATGATAAAAACACACTCTTTTTAAATATTTTCTTTACTATTTAGCCACACCATTTTCTTGAAATGGCAGGTGTCAATAAACAGCCCCCTAAAATGACCCTGGATGAGTAAATACCATTAAAACAAATGGAAGCGATGGTGTTCACCAACCTAAGAAACGAGTTATACCTTTTTACACCCCAACAGCCCAAAGGCAAATTCAGCCAAAACATTTTAGTTTTAGCATTAAAGGCTTTACAGCAAAAAATAAAGGGTTTTAGATACTGACGCGTTTCTGTAATACAGCCTCTATATATATATGGAGCCCTCGCAAAATTTTATAAAATCACTTGTAAGAGATACAGCTGATGTATTATCAATACCGAATGACATTATAAGTCATTAACACATTAAAATACAAAGAGTGCCTTGTTTTTTGGCACATATTTTGAAATGGTGGTACATTTCACCTGCTGTAAGGTTGTCTAATCATTGCTCCATTAGAAGCTGAGGAAATTAAATCACCAGTGAATTTTCAGTCAAACTCTATGGACCTTCAGCTTGCTATGTGAAATCAAATTCATGTGTATAACTAGCAAAAACTGAGCTTCTTTCAACATCTTAATGTAATTCAAATTCCATAAACAAGACCAAATCAGAACAGCTGGCACTGTCCATTTCTCTTGTTAATCGAATACTGTGGGTGTAGAAACACAGTTGAAATCACCATCCATATCCATTTTTCATGTGTCATTCTCTTTATATCCTCATTGATCACAGTCTGCAAAAGTCCAAGCATGTTTTGATACTTAATTAGAAAATTTCACATGACTTTTTTAAAGTTTGTTGGAAATAATTTATTGCTGATTTTATTTTGAGGCTGGACAGACAAATTGTATGCTAATCATTCCAGCCCCTCTAGTCCTGTATCATATAACAGTGAATTTGCAGCAATAACAAGGAAAAATGCTCTTGGCTCCTGTGAACAGATCTCTATGAATAAATAAATACAGACACAGAAAAACTCTTCTGACATAGTCTTGAGCAGTGTAGAGCCACAGGAAGTCTGCTTTATTTTCTAAAAAACTCTGTTTTTCCCACCCATTTTAGGTTTCCTCAGATTTACTGTCCTCTTCACTTGGATTTTTACTCATTACGTTTCTGCAAGAAAGTGTAAAAATACTACAATAGCACATACAACAGTGAAACGTGCTTTGCATTATTTTTATGTGAAATAAATACTGAAACATTTTACTGAAACAACATTCAGTAACAGCAAGAAAAGTCAAGGATATAATGAATGAATTCAGTTATGACTCATTCATGTTTAGCAGACTACAGATTCTCCACAAGGGTCGATAATAGCATCCAAATGGTTTTCGTGTGCCTCCTCTAAAGGAAGAAAACCGGCGTGGTGACCATGGTACTCCCCTCTGCCGACCTAATCCACCTGACATCAAACATCTGGTCTGTTGACTGAAATCACTCACTTTGTCACCTGTTTTGCTTACATGAGTGTCACTTATTTAACATTAACATTGTTAACAAGTTACAAAGTAATGTGTTACAGCAATGCAGTTACTTATTCCAGTAACAAAGCAACGTAATGCATTACAATTTAAATTCTTATTTCATTAGTTACTTAAGAATTTTGTCACCTGTATTACTCATATCTCTCTAAGACACCCTCTAACATACACTGTCTCTATACAGATTACTCATGACTGTCCTTGTACTTTTCACACTGGTGTGTTACGTGTAACCGCTGCCTGCATGACTTTGATTCTGAAAATGAGCAGCGCAGTGCAAGCAGCACTGTAAACAGCACTGTAAAGCTGGTGAACAAGCTGTCAAAGCCTCTAATCATACTAAAATTAAACTGATGGCTAAAGATCCCCATGTTGAAGAAACGAGAGCAGCAATCTCACCTAAACAAGCCAGACTCAGCTTTCAATTAGAACCATCCCTTTAGGTTTTAGGCCCTTTAAGGTTTTCAACAGCATTAGCTGTTCATAATTTTGATCAAGCATAAGTGTCTGTCTTCCTTAGAGCAAAGGCAGGTAGGGGTGGGCGATATGATCAACATATTACATCAAGATACCTATATTTTGTTTTTCTGAAGTCCAATCATTTGGAACAGACAATATAGAATCTGTAGTGACATATATTAAAAAATTAAAACAAAAAACAGAGTAACGATAAAAATGCCATATTGCCCATCTGTACAGGTAGGGATAGTAACATTCAAGTAATGTTTATTAAGATCGGCTCTGTCTGGGTTTTCCACATTTCCAGTCAATACAAATTTGTATAGGTTTTAGAGAGTAAAATAGAATAATGTTAGAGTAATGAGATTACATTTTCAGGATGTAATCAGTAATCCCATTACAGTTTGAAAGAAGCAGTTAGTAATTTGTAATGGATTCCTTGGTATAACTACTGCAACAGTAGTCACCATTAGTGGTGGGAGAGACGTGGCAAACGTTTCCTTACATTTTCATGATGATATCGGGGAACTTGACTACATTCTCATGGGAGTACTAGATCATTTCGTAGTCTATGAAACAAGGTCTAGAAACAAAACAAGGCATTATATAAGCTGCCATTACACTGGGAGGCTATCACCTCCTTTCAGTTAGCCTTCGAGTATTGTTATAAGTACCTAATGACATAACCTAGTCCAGATGATGTCAGATGATGGTTTGTCCGCACTGACATCATCTGGCCCGGTTTGTCCGCACTGACATAACCTAGTCCAGATGATGTCAGTGCGGACAAACCGGGCCAGAAGGACCAATACAATCAATACACCAGTATGAACCCACACCAGCAGGAGAGCTTATGAGGTAAAAAACCCCGAATGCATCCTTTGTGAGTAAAATGAAGCAGAGTATATTCAGTGCTGCTGCCCTTGAAGTACTGTTATGAGATATCCTGTTTAGGGATATGACAAATGTTCACCAAGAAAGGCAAAAAAGCACCAACGTTGTTTAGCGAGTTCTTGTTTTAATATCACTGGTTAATTTCCAGCGTCAACCAGTTAACCCAGTTCCAGTACCTTTAACGTCAAGCAGACGCTGGAAGCCGTGCACAGACTGATGTACAGAGAAGTGCGACAGGATTTCTGCAAAGAGTAGCGTCTCGCTAAAACAATAACACGTGAACATATTATTCGGATGGTATAAGGACAAATTACACAAAATGCTTAATATGTTCAAAAAATATTGTAATATCTCTTCCAAACTTCCAAAATTCTGCACATTTCCATTGTTGTGTCTCAATATGTGATTCCGTCTGTGTTCTCAGCATTGTGGACAGCTACTTTGTTAAAAACTCATATTTATACATGGTATATTTTTTTCTAATCTGTAAACAAAATTTTCCCTCATAATCATATAAGCATAAACACAGAACATTTGGAGTCGAGGGCCAAGTGCAGGTGTTCAGTAGAATTCTGATATTTCTGCCTTTCCAAAAGGGAAAATCTGACATGATACACTCAATACTGAATTACTCATTAAAAGCCAAATATATGATGCCATCCTCAGGGAAAAAGATCCATCTGTGCCCACACACAGAGCTCTCACAACAACAGTTAATCTCCATAACTCACTCACACAAATAACCAAATGAAATGGATGGGCAGAGCTAGACAGGGATGCTGGAATGAAAGCTTATACAATACAGTGGTACATCTAAGCGTTTTTTCTTGAGGTCACTGCTAAAACGTCTTAAACAGCTGGCAGAGTTGTGGTTGGGGGTAAAACACTTGGAGCACTAAGACCCTTGGCCACTTTTACACAGACTCCGGAGAATCACTTCCTCGTTCACACCGTCACAAATGACACATAACAGGCTTGGACCAGACCATCCAACGAATGAAAGCTTCTCTAAATGCAACACATTTCTGCCTCCACTCACAGATGGCTGGTGCTCTCTGTTTCTCGCATTCTCTCTCTTTCTCTCTTTGATGTGCAGCACAGTCAGTCGAGTCCGTCCTTATTTGAAATTCCTTTTTTGTGCTAAAGAACATTCTCACAGTAAAGTGTGTGACGCAAAATGTGCCACGCATCCCACTGTTCGCTGCTGCTTGGCAGTTCAGGAAAAAAATAGGGCCTGATACTAGAGTTCAAGGGCCATACTATCTGACCAATTCAGTCAGTTCATAAGAGTTTCTTCCATTCATTTATTTCCACCTCAGTTCCAGTTAAATAAATAGTAGAAAAATAATCCTTTCGTCTTCATTCTTTTTTCTTTAAAAATTTGAGATGCTTTGTGGCACTTAAAACAAGTGCAAATCTGCCCATCCACAACCTTGAAAAAGGCTCCGTGAGGGGCACTGTGATTTCAGAGGTTCTCGGTAAAGTCCAGGCTGGGCTGCTGGCCGTTCCTCATCAGAGAGGATGTCTGCAGGAGGGCTCGGCCCTGTCCTTTTCTCTCTGAGGGGGCGCAGCACCTGCCGCGAAGGCTGAAAGGGGGAGTGGAGGATGAAGGCAGGGCTCGAGTGAAGTGGCATCAAAGGTGGAACACCAGGGGAAGGGGAGTTCATGTGGGGGAGGGCCCTCAGCACTCTGCATCCACGCTGTGAACGGTGACAGCTGCTTGCAAGTGGTGTGTGTGGGGGTGCAGCGGATGGTGTGTGTGCGTGTGCCGGTAGGGGTAGAATTTGTGGCTCAGCAGGGCAGCGGTTTGTGGCGGTGTGTCCAGGTCCAGATCCTCGTCATGATTGCCCACGTCCACTCCCGCTGAGAGGGGGTCGTTGTTGCAGGGTGGGTTTTCACTGTCCTCCTGCGGGCTCATGGTGCTATAACCTAAAGATACAAACATACAGATTAGAAACAGCAACCTAAATATATTATTTTGTCAGTAAATGTGAAATTCAGCCTTGTACTGGTTATCTTTGAGAGGAAAAACAAAACAACATTCAAATACCGCAACTACCAAAAAGTAGTATGAATGCAGCTTACAATTGTTTCCATAATCAACTATTATTTGATTAAACACCTTCTGCATTTCCCTCTCACTTTGCCTTGTCACAGCAAAGCACAGAAGAAGCCATACTGCTCCCAACATTTGCTGTACTGTATTGCAATTTTTTCAAATGACTATCATTTTGGCATTACAGTGCACTTTCGATTTTAAGTAAAAGAGTAAACACATTAACATTTTTCATAATGAATATTTTTGACAACTAATCAGTCTTGTTGACTAATCATTGCAGAGTAGTCTACATCTATACTGAAGAAAAATGATTGCTGCATTAATAAAACAACATCTCAGGAAGAAGGAAAAATAACCTTCCAACAACTTCTGCAAGAGCATAGAAGTATCACAAAAATACTTAAGTACCAAGAACATATATATATTGAACAAGAACATGTATATACTGGTGTCTAAATTGAAGCACGTGATGAAATTCTATTTGTAAAACTCTTCGTCCACCTTAAATTAGTTTCGCCTTTTCTCTTACCAAGCATTCAAATCTCATTCTTGTATCTAAAGTCCTTCATTTGAAGTACAACCCATTTTAACAGCTAAATATTTTCATATTGAGAACTATTGCTTCTCAGGATTTCCACTGTTCCAGTCTATTCCAGGAATGGCCGTGCGCTTCAAGCTCCATCGCCATAATTAGGCACGAGTCGGGGAATCTTCTGCCCCTCATTAACTTAATCATTCTTCAAAACTTATCCCTCTCCTCCAGAGTATGTGTGTGGTGTTCCCACTATCAGACTGATGATGAAGGATGCATCCACACCACACAAGCTTCAACTTAAAAGCAACAATTTACCACACTAACCATCCCAAAAGCACACATTCTAAACTCGAGTTTGAAATAGTTTTAAAATGTGAAGGGACTTAAAAAAAAGCATAGCATGGAGGTGGATTTAAGCAGATAATTTAGAAGCTTCTATGAAATGCGTTCTCAATGTAGCTCAGCGGCTGCTGGTCTCTGAAGGATTAGAGACGACAGTGAGGGGAGACAGATCCTTGCATTGGGACTAAGCTGACTGGGATGCTCCCCAGGAGTAAAATCCAACTCTTGTGCAGGAAGATCTCTCTGAGGACGAGTTACAGAAAAATATTACAGCAATTTTCACACAAATAAAAGTAGTGATTAAATTCTAAAGACTTCTCATAGCACAAAATATTTGACTGATCATTTATTTCATACATATTGCAAAATGCTGCTATTACCATGCAGGTATTGTTACATTACGGCAAAGCAAATTTCAGCTGACCGAGTGTTAAGCCATATATGTGACAGTGATCCCTTAAACATTAAACTCTATATGTGGGACCACTTTTCGGTTCCTCACTCTCCTAATTTACATTTCTTTCTTTGTAGACTTTATGGATGTAAAAATTAACTGATCAACCAGTTAACTGACAAATCAGCAACTGTTCATGCAATGCTGTCAGGTAAAATGTTTATAGGTTAATTTATTTTAATTTATTTATATTTTATTATTTATCATTTTAATCAATCAACAACAGTTGCCATTTGAATAGGTGGGTTTATCATTCAATTTGAGAAATGTTTTTGAACTGTACACATGGGATCGCAATACGTTGGTTCCACTAGTAAAACCTAAAGTTAACCTAAAAATTAAGCAAGCAGCTAAAAATAGTGGTGTCCAGGATGGTAACACAGCTACAACAATGTGCCATATCAAACATCCACAAGCAATAAGACAGAGAACTATTTTGTCCATGTTCTCAGAGCAAAGGTGTGGTGCATGGTGGTGTAAGGAAACCACACATGGGTGTGTAAAATTATAGAGAAAAACATGGCGGACAGTCACGGCATTCGAGAGCTACTGAGGTAACCACGGTCATGGCATTTATGTTTGATTCAACTTTGGCTAGTTATGAGTGGTAAACATAACTTTAGAACTTTAAGTAGCTCATCTTTATCTATTAAGCATTTCATCAGCTTTTTAGTTTTTGGTCATGTAATCACGAACTCATAGTCTAAGTAAATCTGGATTCTTCCGTAGGATATGAGGGTATGTTTAATAAGGTTTTGGGCTGTTAATGATATAAATGCTTATGTCTGGCCTCACATATCAGGACTTGGACATTCTCAGTGCAATAATACAGAATTCAGTTGATGTGTGCACATCATGAGTGTGCACATATCAAATCTTTAAGAATGGCTTCCAATGCGGCTCAGCAAATCAGCAGATTTTATCATTATAGTTTAATCAGCTAAGCTTTAAAGCACTGCCATGCTTAAATGTTTTCTGACGCTGATTCTCAATCAGGTGTTTCAGGGCACCCCGTCCTTGGATAAACATTCAGATATCAAAGCAAGCTCACAGATACAAGGTATTTGGCAGAAGACTAATCTTTGGTCAGGAAGGTTCTTTCAAACTCTGAAACAAACAGTCAGCTACACAGCTGCAGGCGAATAGAACACATCGTGTGTTGGTGGTGCGGGAGTGAGTCAGAGCACGCTGAGAAAACCTCAAACACTGCGTTCCAACACACACATGTGTACACGCACACAAACAAAAGCCAAATCGATTCGCGTTTTAAAACGACCCCTTGAGCTGGATGAGTGAGTAGCTAGCTAGTGGGAGGTGACCTTTGGCTGAGCAGTATAAAAATACAGAAAACTTTCGCTCTTGCTCTTCACCGCCTCTTTCCGTTCTCTACACCTATAACATATCCACTCCTCCTTTTTTTTTTTAAACCCTGTTCCCGTCTTCCCCGCTCTGTGTGCAATAGAGTTTTTTTTTCTTCTGTTTGTTATACAATGAGTTTTATAAAGAGTCATCCCTATAAAGAAGCATATATCTCATGCACCCAAAAGCCTTTCACTGCCAAAGGAAACAGGAGCTAGTGCTGAACTCCCCCAAATTCAGACCTTGCTTTAATTCAGTAATGACTAAAAAGTGACTATAAATTATTGCTCATCTTACTCAACATCTCATCTGCAATAAAATTCAAAGACTTTGGCAATGTCTCACTTAACTCATTGAAATCAGCTGCCAGAACAATGCATGTCTAATCTGGCCACAGTAAAATAGACCATTTGTGGAAAGCTTTCTGTGTGCTAGCATATTTTCTATAACAATATAAAAGAAGCACAATACTGCCTGTATCGTTGGACGTTTTCTGAGTGAGTGTGCGCACACGGAACAGACTTTTTATCAGAATTTTTATTGAATTCTGATGTTGAGTAGACTGAAGTGTGAAGTATTTTCATATTCATGTTAGCTTCCTCAAAATTATTAGTTTATGGCAAAGACCTACGATGTTCTTTACATATCAGAATAAACAGGGACGCACCAATATGGTAACTGAAGGACAATGAAGACCTCTGTACATATCAACCGATACCAATACATAAAAAAATGATAAAATCTAGAGGGATATAATATCTGGAGGGCTACAAAAGCTGTAAATAAAAAAAAATGCTGAAATTTTAGAGCATTAGCCCAGTTTGAAATCAGTCAAATCTTAACATCTGTCTAATGTTGATCATTTTTTTTAAGCTACTACCTGCCGATACTATGATTCCAATATCATTGTGTATCCATAAAAATAACTGCAAGAACAGCAATGAGAAACCAATTTGTTGCAATGCAAAGCAAACAGTGCTACTCATGCACTGTCAGACGACAGTTAAACACACTTGGAAGAGGGTTCTAACGGCCCGATTCTGTATACGTGATCTAACAGACGCACAAGCTCAAGGACTACACCATCGTTGTCGCCCAATGACAGTAAGGCTAATGGTACTCTCTTGGCCTCCCAGTCACTCTGTAAATTAAGATTAACAAAACACCCCTGGATTAACAAAACTTGCTCTAAATTAACAAGGAGTAGAGAACTAAGCCATCCGTCTGATCCAATGACTTTACGGCCAAGAGTGCTTATTGGATTCCAAGTGATGAATGCAAGTTGGTTGAAAGGAAAAAATGTTCTTGTCATGCCTTTCCTTAAGGTTTGACTATTTAAGTGTTTATTAATATTTACTCAAGAAAAATAAGATTTCAAGACATACACTTACCATGGTCACTCTCTGTTCCTGATCTGCCCCAGTATCTCCGCCTGCGCTCAGGACTGTGTGTGTGTCTCTCAATGACAGCAGCAATGAAGCGTGTGTTACTGACTGTACAGAGACAGGAAAAACTTGGTGAAACTACAGAAAACTGTAGTTAAATATGTAAAATACATCACATCTATACAGGGACTAAGGCTACTTTCACACTGCAGATAAAAGTAAATCCAATCCAATAATTTTCTTTATATATGACTCAAATTAGTTTTTTGTTTGACAATGTGAACAGTATAAAAACTGAATTTTCAATTTCACCAGGTTCAATTTCAATTTGGGCCTCTTTCACACGTGGAACTGAAGTCTAATAAGTATCTGATACGCGACAATGTGGCTGCTGCCTGGACAGTCAGATCGGAATCAATTATACTTTTCTGTTGATCTAACTCAACCCTAAATCAACGTTTCGTGTGCCATGCAGGAACAGACACTATGAGGCGACATCACTGGAAGGCCTGTTACTATGGTTACACTTCATGTCTTTCGTTTTGGAGGTTGAACAAGAGAAGTGCAGGCAGTGTAATGAATAAGCATGGTGCATTCTAACTTTCTCTATTGCTTTCTGATGAGAGAAATCAAAGAGCTATTCAAAATCATGTATACATCAAAGAGGTTTTGAAAAGGAAAAGCAGGTCTTATGACAGGTAAGCAAAAGAAACTGAGCTTCCATGATCTGTTTGATCAGCTTCCACAAACACAGAAATTCACCATTTTTTACTCTTTTCTCAGTGTGGTCCTTCTAGTGCAGGGGTGCACAACTCCGGTAACTCCCTAACCCACCTGATTCAACTCATCTGATAATTGCCAAGTTTCGTGGGTGTGTTTGTGTAGGGCAACTGTGCTGGACACCAGCCCTCCAAGACTGTGTGCACCCCTGTTCTAGTGTTTGCTGTTTGTTGTTCAGGTTTAAAGTAGCAGACTGCACGGCACATTTTAGTGACACATGAAAGGTGCCTATTAATCTGAAGGAAAGGTAGAGAACAAGTATGTTTGTTGGATGAGCCTTTTGTGGGTCAGTACAGGAGAGTGATCTTTTAAGAGTGATGTCAGATTTCTTTCACATTAAAAAGATAACAGGATGACCAAACAATAAAAAAAAAATATATGGACAGTAAATCCATATGGGACACTTTTACGGACACTTTTATGGTCTGAACGTAGTCTAGTATAAGAAGGATCAGAATAACACATTGTGTAAAGGAATATAAAAGCACGTAACTCTTAGACATTAATTAGAAGGAATATCCTAAAAATCATTCACTACCAAAAACATGTAAGAATGACATCGCTGTGAAAGAGTGTACATTCATCAGGACGCCCTTACTTATTCCTCTGTCCTCATGACTGTCTTCATCTCTTTCATCCCGCTCATTGTCCAGGTTAGACATCCGCACTGACATCTCTGTGCAAGGAGATGGAGAGAGAGCCAGTGATTAGAGAGAGAGAGAAAGCATAAGAGCAAACACATTCGGCAGTCCTAAACACATTTCACATTATATTACAATTAGTCTCTGATTCTGTCCAACGTCCTCCTCGTGAGAATAGCAAACAGATAGGCAGTCTTTCAATCCATGGCTAGTGCAGTGGATAATCTAAATGGTGAAAGCTCAGGAGACACTTGGAGGCACTAATGAAAGTCTATTCTGAGAGGCACCATGGCATTTAAACTAATAGAAAAGCACAGCAGTGATTAAAGACAAAGGTAAACCCTCACAAGGCTGAGATTTTGGTTATTTTCACACATGAAGGACAGCCTTTTCCCCGACTGACTAATTAAATTAAGTGCATATAAAAGATCTCTGTAAGTGCTACAGAATCAAAATAAGAAATTAATCATTATACAGTAATAGCCTTAAGTGAACCGTTGGCTTTGATACAAGCATTGCATAGAGATTCAGTCGGGTTTTGCTCTCCAGACTAAATCCAAAGGAATTCTTCAGACATAGCAGCAAGCTTACAACCTGGGTAAAGAAAAAGTGGCTGTAACATTGGATGGAGGGCTACTATACGGAAAAGCAGGATTAGAGTAAGAAAATGACTTTCATTTATCTCTCTCTGAACTGCCTTGGTAATCTTTATCAACTCGTTAGCTGACAGGGTCACAGACTATAATTGGAAAAGGTCAGTTTGTTAAATACCAGCTTTAGTTAATTCAATCATTTTTAAGGCATGTTTTAAAACAAGCATGAATGAAGCATTACAGACGTATGTCACTCCACAGAGGTGTCAGACATCCTATAATAAACACCCTATGCCATCATAGATAACTTTCAAAACCAGAGAACTGTTAAGGCACAAGTTGGTGTATTAAAAATATTTATCTTTTGGTTATATACTGGTTTATAGAGCAGAGGAGCAGTACAGAGGCTGCAAAAGACTTCAATCTGCTATAGGCCAGCCATGTCATCTCATTATGAAAGATTCTATTCTAATCACTATGAGATTTACACAGCCTACAGCACATAACATTATTGTTTACTTTCACAGCAGCTTAATGGTGAACTGTTTTCAATCAGACTCTCTAACAAATTTTGGCTAGACAAAGTTCTGTTTTCACCCACAGCAACGTAATTAAAATTTCAAGTAAATGTTAAACGGTTTCATTCATGATCAGTGGGAGCCTTATCTAACAGAGTTAGGTAAGACTGTTAGAGTTAAAAAATGTGGTACTTTAGCTGTGAGTACCCTGTTAAGGCTTCAACATACTGCACACGAGAGCGTTGGTTTAACAGAAAAAGAACCTTTTCATATTCATCACAGTAGTTTTTAATAGCCTGCAAGTCGAAGCTGTCACATAGGAGACCTTACTATCATCACAACATGGACAGTGCCTGCGGGACTGCAACCCTGGCCTGCAGAGGACTTGACAGCAAAATTAAATCCATTAGCCTTTAACTTGTTACTATTCAAATAGTCATCATTACAATACACACTTTCTCTCCAAGCCCACACAGAGAGACCTCAGCGCTGCGGAGATGTGAAGAAACTGGTGTGATAACACTTCAGGGGTTTTAACAGACTTATTTAGTTGTGTGGTGATATATCTTATGGATGGCCTAAAAGGAAGATACAACTGTTGTTTACATGCTGTTGGGAATACCTACTTTGATTGTGTTCGGGCCCAAAGCCTTGTTGTATTTAATTTTTCCCCCCCAAGATCCATTTATGATATGTGTGTAATAATAAACAATAATTATTTTTAAATGACCATTTACCAGTCTGTCTTCATCTGATGGAAACAGCATGGAAACCATTAAACAGGCTTTTTTACTGCACCTTCAAGACTGATATATGTAAATGAGCTTTGTTCTGACTGGCTGCCCTATACACTGCCTCTTTCAAAAAAGCTTTCTACCCTGTTGTAGACTGGATAGGCTAATTTTTTTTCATGCTGTGACATCACAAAACAGGCTGAATTCAAAACATAGTTTCCATATATAGAACCTATTGGCTGTGGAGTGAACTTTTAACATTGCTTAACATTGAAATTTTAATATTGCTTACTTGCTACATCAAATTCTCATTTCAAAAAGAGAGAGAAAAACTTCAATCTTCCATGATACGGGCCTTTAAGCATCTCTTACTATAGCAATCAAGCACAGAGTTTCTCTAGATACCTTGTTTGAGTCTTATCTTGCATCATATCAGCTGAATGAGTAACAGTGTTGTTTCAGAGGACAGCCAAACTCAGCTGAATTTCACAAAACAGAGACCTCTACAAGCTGGGCAAAATATGAACTTTTGTTCATCAGAGAAACATGATATTTGGATTTTATCTTAAAACGTTTCATCTTTTTCTGTTTTCGTCTGTTTTGAGTCTTTTCTCAAAACATTTTGACTTTGACATTCATCTCAGTATTTTTATACTTTTATACCCTTTACTCTCGTAACTACATTCTTAAAATTTCTTCCTTCAGTTTGGTCAGATTTTGCCTTTTTCCTGGATTGTGAATATCATTCTGAACTTAAATGCCCCCAACAACATTTTTATTCTTTGCTTTTTATAATGGCCTTGAAAGCCCTGTCATAGGTTTTCAGCTGCAGCTGAGAGAGGCTTTTGTGTATTGCCCTTCATTCAGAGCTTGCTCCGGCTCTCACTCACCCTGCGCGGCTAGAGGGGACATGTGCTGATGACTCCGGCGGTGGATCTGGTGCCTGTAGGCATACACAGCCAAAACCAGCACCATGATGCATCCCATAATGCCTCCTGCTACTGGCCCCACCGGCGCGCTCTTTATCATGTTCAGAGACGCCACCTCTTCATCTGCTGGATGGCAGGAAGGATGACAGGGTTAATAGATTAAAAAAGGAGGAGAGAATGAAGTGTGTGTGTGTGTGTGTGTTTGTGTGTGTGTGTGTAATATACACAAAGACCTTTCAAGGTAGCACAGTTGAACTGTGCAATACAAAACATGTATTGATGGCCAAATGTAGGATCAATTTTCTAGATGCATGTCATTCTAAAGAAGTGTGTAAATGTCAGACACCTGAGGACATTATCTAAATATCTTGTATCTTGGTAGTGTGTTTTGCCATATCATTAGAACAGAAGCAAATGAAAGTAAGTATAGCAAAAAACTAAAATGACTTATTAGTAGCTGATATCTTGTGAACTACTTTGAAGAACAAAGTTTGGTTCCAGATGTCTCCTAAACGCCCTCAGCCATCATACAGATCTGTTAAATTTCATGACTAGCCCATTTGATTCAACTAGACACCAAAAACGCAAACCAGTGGTGTATTAATATTTTGAAGTATTTTGGAAACAAGAACGTCTACCAAAATGGGCAATTGTCCTTAAATAATAATAGGTAATTGCCTATTTCTGGTCATTTCTTGTCACAAAATTACCATGAGCAGCTATTTGGTCACCACTTTTTGAATATGGCATGCTGGATAGGAATTTTATTGTTCATAAAGTTCATTCTCAGTGCTAGAAAGCTTCTGAAATATCATGGAATCATCTATAGTGCGATTCATCAATGAAAATTTGTTAATTGTAACAGCTTCCTACAAATAGTTTGAAACCTATATTATAATTATATTAGAATTGTTTTATGCATGTATCTTGGTTTCACTGGTCTTACCGAAAAAAGTGATGGCAAACTTTAGAACAGTAGTGTATATAATAAAATATGTTAATATATCAAAATTGAAATGTAAAGAGGCATATATGGGCTGGCCGGGGCAAGCTTAAAGTTCATATGCGCAGTTTAAACAATCAACAAAGTCAGTAACTCTCAGCTTTTAAACTTTTTTGTTGTCTTGGGGCTAACAACAAAGGGTAACCGTTACCAAATACATCTGTAAGGTACAGCTTATAGGTACACTCAACAGAAACAACATAACCAAAGTCCGCTGCACTTCTGCGTTGTGCTATTGCTTGCAAATTAAATCGGAAATTAAATAAAGTTTTAACAGAAAGCATTAGTTGAATAATTACGCATTTGTTAGTTAACAGTTAATTGGTTAAACATTAACATCCCTAATAGAGAGGAAACAAGAAATGCATTACATACATATAAAGAGTTTCAAGTAAAAAGTCTTTTATATACTTAATTTGCATATAATTCATCTTTTAAATATAACAAGTATGAACAGCTAATATGACCATATCATTATAAAGATAAAATACACCACAATATGCTTTTCTGAACATATTGTGGATATTGGTCATAATTAAAGAACAGTGCACAACTGAATGTTTCATTACAGAGAGAGCATAATTAGTCTTGTTTAATTGGATTTAGTGTAGTGCAGAATGTAAAACACTGAATAAAAATCACTCATACTGATAGTGTTTGATGGTACTTTTTAAATGTGGCACTGCCAAGGCTTATTTGTCTGTTCCAACTTATGAAACTGAATATAGTGATGCATATTGTGTATTGTGAAATTGTCTTCAAGTATTGTGATTTTTTATTTTTGCCATATTCTCTGCCCCAGTAGGAAACCCATTATAACAGTTCTGCACTCCCTAAAGAGTGTATAAGCTCACCTAAAAGGCCCATACCATCCACATAAGGACTCTTGGCACCTACAATTCCTCCAAAACACTCCTTCTGAAGAGCACAGTAGGGTTTGTCCAGGTGGGTCTTTCCATCACTGTCCACCATACACCACTCACAGTCCAGCACACCAAAGCAATCACTGCACACAGACAGACACACACACCCAATTTAAAAATGAAAGAAGCCAATGTTTAGTGTATGAATTAGAAGGTCATTGTAAGGAAGATACTATGTACAATTCCAAAACAAACACAAAAACATTCTACTTAATATCGCAAAATACGAAATACATTAAACTACAACCTCTTACACTGTTAAACAGTCCTGATCCACCACAAGGGGTCAGTGTTCTCCACAGAAACCCAGCTAAACCTAACTCTGAGCAATGCTCTTTGGTGAATCACTTGAATGTTGTTGTTTATAGTACAAGTGTAATAATTCAGGATCACTAATTAAAAGTGCTGTAATGAAAGTTGCTTCACTCTACATCTGACTGACCTGCTGGTGAAGCGCTGGCTACAACGAGTGTTGATGCACTGTGGCAGAGTGTCCTGCAAACTGGGCTCAATCACTGTCAGAGACAAGGGCTCTTGATGTACCTCACAGCTTGGGTTTCTGAAGACATGCAGACAGTTTCATTAACAAAGTTTAAAAATTTTAGTTATTACAAATAACTTTAACACAGATATGACTCTCCAACAAAATACATTATACTATAGAGCTGCTTAAATCTGTTAATATTCTGTAGTGCAAATTATCATATGATGAGCCATCATGAAGTAGACAAACATCCAGAAGTGTTTTTATCTGCAGGGAATAGCAAACAGATTGCCTTTTGCCAAATGAATGCCTACAGGGGAATGCTCAACTGCTCCAAGATACAGATGGATGAGTATCTATTCATTGTGACAAACAAAAACAAGATGAAATCTAGAGAAGAGCTTTGTGCTTGCATGCATCCTTCCTCTGAACACTGCAGACATAAAGCCTCAATCTAAGTGATCTTCTGATCACAATACACAGAAACCTTCTAAAACTTTTAATATGGGCTGCATTCCTTGACATATTACATAGACAAACCCCAGAAGTATGATGAAAGATATGAACTCGTGTTCCTTTTGTTACCCCTAAAAATTACAAGTGAAAAGCTTGAGACGTCCAATAAGACTGTAGGAAAGAGTTACCTGTTTTCTGCATTAGTGAGATTGCCTGTACACTCATTCACCTCTAGAGGACACTCACAGGGACATTCACACTCATTCTGTTCCATTCTGAGGATAAAACAGAATAAAAAATTGAGTTGTTGTCTAAACTTTATCTAAACTGGTAGTGAGAATTCTGAGCATATTTATTACATTCAGAATAGCAGAATCCATGGATTGTTGATTTAAGCTTTTGGTAAAGCAATAAGCTTTACACTTTAAAATGCATAAATTAAACATATATCTAATTACATATACAAGCATCATTATTCTGCAAAAAAATAAAATAAAAAAATGTAAAAATTGACAAATCCACCTGTGGCAGTTCAGACAGAGGCGATCCACAGTGCTGCATGCACAGAAAGCCAGAGAATCACAAGTCTCATTCACAATACCCGCAAAGGCATTGGTCCCTGGAATACGGGTGAGCCGATACTTTGAACAGTGACTGCCGTGAACCAGATTGGTCAGATCACCCTGGAAATAACACAACAATCTTAAATCATCAAGCAAAACCAAAAACATCACACATCAGTTGGCACTTAAATAAAATATCTTAAATATTTATCTTAAGTTTAATGATACATTTAAAGCTGTACATTTAAATGTAAATTTTGGAACGGTCAACAACATAAGTGCCAAAACTTAAACTCCGGGTCTTCCACTTTCCACTAAAACCTTCTCTATTTAGCCAGTTGTCCAATGGTCACTTGGAAGTTTTGGCTCTTCAGTTTTTGACAGTTGCAAATAAGTTTTACCTTCAAATTTGCCATAAGATAAATCCTTAAGTTGTTGTATGCAAGTGGACACTTCACAAATAAAGTTTTATGTTGCACATTGGAAAAAAAAACAAAAAAACAAAAAAACATCTGCTGCCAATGCCATTACAGTCCTTTCCACCAGGTGGTGCTATGATGCTACTAGAAAGAGGAACTTCACTCAAATGTATAAGGGACTCAACCTGGCTGTGAGCGTTTGGGCCAATCTGATACAAGGAGAACAATCAAAAGCAGCAAGTAGAAAATGTTGCATCTCTGCTCCACTCACCACAATGCTAGTGTTAAACTTATAGAAGCGTTGCACTGTCCGGTCACTGAAGCTATTACACAAGTTCTTCTTCACAAAATTAGGGTGATTAAGGATGTCATTGGCCACCAGTGGCTCCTACAAAAATACAAATAAAGTTTTAAATTTTACTTTGTTTTGAATATAAATTTGTATGTATTAATCTTCGAATACAAAGGAACAAGAACAATAATATATAATTTCTAGAACAAATAAGACAAATAAGATATTTCTACCGCTTCCAGAAATCTATGTCAACTGGTAACTTTATTGAAGATCTCTGTGAGAATGTGGCAGAAAAAGAGGTCTGTTGCAGTACCTTATGGGTGATATGTTGCTGTTCTGCTGGAGCGTGGCCCTTAGGGTCAATCAGGGTGGGATGGGCCACCAGATAGCCTCTGTCCTCCATAATAAAGCATCTACACACACAGACAGTAAAGGTCAGCCATCCAATTGTCATCATCTCAAAAGTCATCCACATCTGACAGAGGACATATCTTTTTTTGACAAAGGTCAGTGCGTACAGGGATTGGTGACAACCTTTGAAAGGTTACTGGCTGAACTTCGGACCATAAAGCTGTGTGGGTGAGATGTAAACGATGAAAATAGCTTACAACAGCACATTTTTAACAGATGGGGCAATAATGGAATGTATTGTGAAAACATTAGGCTCATACACATACTTAAAGGAAGGAATGCAAGTGTCCAAAGGGCCTGGGTGCAGGGGGTGTGTTCTACTTTCTTTAGAAATCCTCAGATCCATGAGGCAGCTCAGAATAGCCCTCTTGTGCATAACACACTGGGCCATTCCACTCAACTAATCCTGTTTAATGGCCCTAGCATTCAAAACTCACAGAACACTGAGGCCTAACCCTTTCTGGAGCATGAGAGGGGAGAGAGAGAAAGAGAGAGAGAGAAAAATAGTGATAGGGATAGAGAAAGGGGGAGGGGATTGTAGGCATGGTTAGCAAGAAGAGAGGGTGATGGAAAAGAGTAAAAGATAGAAGAGAACAGAAGAAAGAAGAGGAGAGGGGTAAAGCGGAGAGAACTGGCACCTAACATAACAGGATGTGTCTGGAATGCGCTCCTAATCAGCTTATCTCCTTTTGTGTTTCACCAGTAATTCCCCAACTCTCTCGCTTTTTCTCCTTCCAAACATTGCTCCAGTGATTATTTTGTGAACCTTCTTCAGTCTTTTTTCTTATCAACTGTTCTTGGTCTTTCGCTCTCGTTCTTTCTTTTACCTCAACCCCTATGAACAATTACCCTGCTTTCTCTCCCAGCCCCCCTTTCTTTCCCTCCAAAGGGAGAAGAAGGAGGGCCCTATGAATGCTCCTTTTTAAACACAGGCAAATCTGATTAGTTTCATATAAAAGAGTTTTAGAGAGCCTCCGGGCATTTCTCTGGACACCTCAGCCGGAGAGAGCTGGATCTTGGCAGGCTAGGGAGAGGGGGAAGAGTGAAAGAGAAAACGAGCAAGGCAGGAGGTGAGAGGGGCAGGGTGGGGCAGGCTTACCGGATTTTGTTGCCCTTGTCCTGGTTGCAGATAGGCAGCAGATCCAGCAGGACCTTATAGAAGTAGCGCAGTGTAAAGTCGATGCCCATAACTGCTACTGCATAGCCTGGAGCCATCTGAGAACTAAACACAAGAGGAGAATGATTAAAGATACAAAATGGAGAAAGAGTAGAGGAGGATGCATCAGTGTCGAACCGACAGAGCATTCATCAAAGATCATCACACATTTGGGTTACGAGATCCTGCTACATTTACCGTTCATACTTCACGTCAAGGCTGAATAAAACAAAAAGGAGAAAAAAAATCTCTTCACAATCTTTATCATCACCAGCCTCTCTGGCATTCTGCCAGTTTCAAACAGTTTCGTCATACCTCTAAACATACCTTTGCACGCGCACATACACGCACACATACTCTACTAAACACAAAACAGACATGCCGATAAGACTGAGCCTCTAAAACACAATGTGTTGTGCTTTTTTTGGACCGCAAACAAAAAAGGATGAGTCAAACCTAGTAAATGATGCAATGACATGACCACCAAATTTAATATGATTAATTTAAACGAAGAGCTGAATAAATCCAGATGAACTACTGACTGACCTAGAGGCATGGATTGTGTGGCTGATGGTGACCACGTAGCCAGCTCCACCAACGTCCAGGTAAGGTCCAGTAAAAGTAATAAGACCAGGATTGGCCACAGCATGAAGGTACCTACAGGAGCAAATGATAAGTTGTCTTGTTAAACAACAAGAGCTACACTTTCGTAATCTAAAATGGCTTTTTTTCTTCTCCTTCTTTAACACTAAAATAAAAAAAACACTAAATCAATGTTTGGGTAGTTTTGGGCATCTCTTGGGATAGTGTTGGCTTACTTTTCACTAATTAAATCAAGGCCTTGAAGGTATCTTATGAAATCTCCTGGTTTAGACATGAACTTAAACAATAAAACAACCAAAAAGTATGACAACATCTTTCCATGCTTTCAGCTCTGTATTTGCCTGGAAAAACTAGTATTAGTTGTCCAACAAACTTAGTCTCTAGCCTGGGGCTCTGTTCAGCAACAGCTCCCAGGGAGTCTGGAAGGGTTTCAGAAGTGTGGAGACCTCCGCCCTCAGGCCCTAATCTCACCATTGTCTCCTAGTAGGGTCGAAGGCTTTGTCCATGAGTGAGCCAGGGTAAATCCGCAGCACCCCATTGGGCGTTGCTATGTAACGGCGCACAATGTAGCAGTTCAGGCTGCTCAGCTCCATGAGACTCATCCATTCGTCCGTCACATGACTGGTCGCCATCACATCGTTCCTGACAGACGACTGGAGCACAAAAGAGAGAGAGTTTGAGCATGCCAGGGTTCCAGTAAATCCGCTCTGAGAACATCTACAATCACTCAAAATTCTCCTTCTAATTCTGCCCAAAAAGAGAGTGAGCAAAAGCAAGAGAAGGAATGTACAAAGACTGACGCAAGAGTTTTTGTGCATGTGCATTTAGCCTTGGGTTAGGAACAAGGCTTCTACTGTTACCGAGTTATTATAACAAAGTTGCTCCTTGATACTGACATACAGCCAAGTCTGAGCTATGAGCTGTAAATTGTGAAAGAGGTAGTATGAGCTTTGAAGTATTTAGTATCGCTGAGGTGTTTGTAGTAGTGTAAGAGCCGAGATGGCTAAGAGGTATGCATTGCCAATGTCTGTATGTGTACACCTTTAGGCAAGGCTTGGTTATGAGGCATGTATTGCTGCACACGTAGACACTGATGTGCGTGTCCACAGATCTGATTACCTTCCGTGTCTGTGTCCCTCATGTCTGGGTTGGCTATGAGGCTATGCTGTCACTGAAGTAGGCCTCAGACTGTGTATGAGTTTGTTTACACTAGAAATGTATATTTAAACTATTTTTTATTTCTGAGTATCCGAAAGGGTTAATAAACTGAAACTTAGTTAATGATGGGGAAGGAAAAGAAACGACTTCAGCAGACATAAATGTAGGGATGTGGGCTTACAATTTTAGGTGAAAATAGTGGTGTTGCACAAAATTTTATCAGCATGCAGAGATATTTTACTTGACCACATTAAAAGGTAAGTAAAACAATCTAACATTCTGTGACCAGAATTACAGAAACATGTTCATCATACATACACTATGTTTACAATTAGCAAGCATGCTCAATTCCAAAAAACAGTCAAGTTACAAGTTCTCCACAACACATTTTTTTAATTATACCAGTCAAACCAGGAAATTATATAATGGAAGTAAAGCGGAAATGTGTGCTTTATACATAGGAAAGTAAAACCGGATCTCATCTGGTCACACTCTGGACACATTTTAGCAAATATCCGTATATGCATGTTAAAGCAAGGTCTAAACAAGCCCTATTCTTCTGCTTTCAGACCCGACTTGGCTATAAGGTATGTACTGTCACTCTGGTATGCAGTGGAGCATGTGTGTGTAAGTGTGCAATTTTGAAAACATTAAAACCTAGAAAAAAGTAAATACAAGGTCAGGACCTTGGGACAATACTGGAATCATATTGGTATCCTCAGATAATTTTTATTTATATTTATCTGTACTGCACCCATGTTTGAGTAATAATTCAAACCGATATCTGATGAGGCATTTATTGCATTCCACAAAAACAGAACGTTCAGGCAATGCTGGACTACTGTGCTGAATTGTCTGTATTTTATTCATTTGACTACATTTGTAACCCTGTAAATGAAAAAAATAAAGAAAGAAATAAATGGTATATATTTCTCCCAAATTACATATATAAAACTAGCCTGTTTGTGTGTGTGTGTGTGTGTGTGTTTGCAGGTACCTTCAGGCCTGGGTTGGCTATGAGGCGTGTGTTATCGCTGAGGTAGGCAGTGTAGTGCTCCACCATGCGCTTGGTTTCCGGTTGACTCAGGTGCTCATAAGGAGAGGAGAAACTACCGGCTGACAGCATCACAGTAGGGCTCTCTGTGGGTACACAGGGAAAGTGCGCTTGGTACATAAACACACTTTCTGCGTTCCTGTTATGCACACTGCTGTGTGACAATTATCGGTCTTCTTCAGTCTGCACATAAAACCTGGTCTGCTAAATCGGAAACTGGCTTTTTGTTATTGCGACTAAATACAAAAAAACGTTCTGATGAATTACACTAATTTGAAGATCTCAGGTCTATATGCTGTCTACACTGCTTACCAACAGTAGCAAGTTGTTTGAAGTGCAGGCAGGTGCTGGGTTGACCCAGAAGGTCCAGTCTGTGATACAGGAGCTTACTGCTGGGGGCTGTGTTAAGGTTCTTCAGGTGCTTCACAGGTATTTCTGGTTGAACATAGACTATGCACAGAATGAAGGAGGTGTCCTGGACCTACAGAGCACAAGGCAGAGTGGATGAGAGGTAAGGAGAGAGGGCCTTTGTGAGAGCAACATACATGAGGTGATCATTGCGCACACCAAATCTTGTATACAATCAATAATAAAACATCTATAGACATAGAATCTAATATTCAGTATTTAAGTGTTCAAAATAGTGTTTTCAATGTTCAAAATATTGATAAAGCAATATATTATGGACAACTTTGTGGTGATACAAGTATTAATACAGTGATGGTTGCATCAATATTTATAAATTTGCTTTTTACGTGATGCGTGCGTAGGTAAACAGAAACTACATTCAAGTCTGAGAGCACAGCACTTTACAGCATCCACTGCATTGTAAACAAGTCTCCTTTCTTAACTGTTGTTAAGACATGTATGACCCATTAGTTGTGTACTCAGTCCAGTTTGCAGTTGTAGTAAGTTATTAATTTGTAGCTGCTCTGTTAGCATTTCAGCCTATAGCACTATTAAAAACCTTAAGAGATGATAGTTCAGTTTGCTGTGACCTGTGGCACGGGTTAATGAACATTTTGTTATTCACTTTGTTTCACAGCCACAGACTCTCTAACACGTGCCTCTGTGATTAAAAGAGTAGGAAGTTCACTTCTCTGCCTCTCTGTCCTCTGAACAGCATCTCAGCGTGAACTACACCTAAATGCTCCACCAGCATTATTAATGTATTCATTATTCTTGTATTTTTTTTTTTACTTCTACTTAAAGTTAGGCAAACATTAATATAAAAACATCATTATAACTCTACCTAAACTCATTTATTTATCAAAACGAAATTTAAAGTAAATATTAAACAAAAATGTCTAATGTGTTTTGCCACTGAATCATATCACACTTGTATCATGATAAGTATCATTGCTGAAAATAAACAGCCCTAGTACTGGCTGCTGTAAGCAGCAATGGAGGAAGCAAAGTCAGGCCATCTTTAACAAATTACTGCATGTACATCGGAAAGTGCTAAAGAGCACATAAATACAATCAGACAGTTACAGAGAGCAGCACAGGCAGTGACGTCAAACACTGGTTACGAAGATGCCCTTACAGAGAGAGTGTTTACTGTCAAAACTTTAGAGAAAGCGCTCTGTAGTTCAGACTACAGTTCTGCCTCCTGAGAACTGTGCTTTGCTCCACTACAGCACCAAGACAGAAATGCTTTCAGTTTTAAAATAAAACATGTTAAAGGAGTTTATCAAGAAAAGCAGAGCCAATAATGTTCCAAAAAGCAGGTCAGTTGAAAGACATTTTACATTATAACTTATTTCACCACACTGCATTAGTTATAATAATGTGCCACTGACAATCTAAGTCTGTTTAATGCAGACAGCTGTTGTCATGTATGTGTAGGTCTGACCTTGGAAGCACACAACAAACCATAAAGTCTGTTGCTGTTGTAAAAGGCTAAAGTTCTGAGAGTACATAGATTTAGCAGTCTGAAAAAGTGCAACGCCAGGGGGCTGAGCCAAACTGTGTTTCAGCTCCACAGTTTTTCCCCTCATCTTGAGGTGACAGGACTGAGTTAGATGCCAGCAGGCATCTGTCTGTGCCATCTCAGAATAACCTAAATGTGAGCTAAACATTTGAAGAGTGGAGCTCTAGGTGAATGGAATATGACACGTCAAAGCCACTGTGGCAAAATTTGTGTACCAGTTTCCAGGCGTAGCTGACGTTATAGGCTTCTCGGCTGGGGTCACGCAAGCGATTCATGTGCCAGGACAGAGAGGAGTTGATGGGCACAGCGATGACCTGGCTCCCCAAAGGCAGACTGAAAAAGAACATTAATGAACGTTATTTTACATGCTAAACATACCAGCACAAAGCCAAAAGACCATGTGAGGCCTTAAAACTGAAAGTGCGGTCTTGCAACAGCTTCATAATTAGTCACTTAAAATGACGTCACTGACAGAGCTCAGAACTGGAGTACCCCTGTGCCTCACCTGAGGATGTTCTGGCGGACAGCGGCAAAGCCTGGGATGTTCTCATAGTGGATGATGTCAGTGTGCAGAGGGGCTTCAGTCATCAGGTAGGGGCGAGTCAGGGATGGGTGCATGAGGGTGTAACCTAACAAATTAGACCAACAAGAAAGAATAAGCAACAAATTACCAACAATGAACTACCAAACAAAGGTCTGTCTAATTTGATACTTCTGGTAGACATTAAACTGCAACAACACACTCTTTAGGGGCTTTTAGTCCCTCAGTTCCATGTCTGTGCTCATCGTTACTGAACAGCTGATGACAGCAGGTGCAGCATCCTCTTACCAGAGAGGGAAACTTCTATTTTTCCAAGAGAATGCATGGTTAGCCTCATTAATGGAAACGAAGCTGAACTCTAATAAAGGACCATTTTGGCCTATTTACTTACTGCCTCTCATAACATTATTTAATTTACAACTAGTCTGGTAATTACTCATGACTCTGTAATTCAATATTGATGGCAGAGTTACTCAAAGAGACTAAATGTATTCATTACATTGCAAACCCCATGCTGCAGAAAGAATGACTCACTTTTGCTGAATATTAAGGTCAAAAACACTTGAACAGGTCTCAACTTTCTATATGTACAAAATTATACAAAAATCTCTATGCAGACATCACTACCAAGCAGACCTTTAAGAGAATATCCATTACAACTCTAATTAGTTACATACACTGACCATGAGACCCTCCAATATGAACAGTTCTCCTGTTCCTGCTCCAAACAGCTGGCCTAAAGCAAGTCTTGTTGGCTCATAGCCTGTGAGCGTGCAACAGGTACTTTCCCCTAATGGACTATTAAATGGGGGTAATGGCCTTCAGTCCAGTGTCCTGAGTCATTGAGACTGGCAGTGTTGCTCAGAGTGGACCTCCAAGTGAGGCTTGCACAGAAGCAAGGGTTCTAAAGAGTCAAGCCCAATATAGGCTACAGCTAAAAGCACAAAACATGAAGCAGGAAGGATAGCTGTATTCCATACCAGCTGCTTCCAAATTAGTGCTATGTCACTGTTCAGAAAGAACCTGGCCCATAAGTCAAATAAGAAAAATACAGAGGTAATTAGAGTGTAATATGTAACAGAACGCGCTGCTTTATTTCAGCAACATATTCTTCAACTAAAACAACCAGACAATTAACAGCACTCAACATTAGTTACTTTGTTCATAATGCAATGGCAGTTACCTTTGTTATCTATGAGGAAGGTATAGGAGGCCAGCGAGTCTTGGTAATAAGTCACATCCTCGAGGATATAGGCCAGGTTCACATCCACGCCCACAACCCCCAGCAGCAGGTTTCCAAAGTAGCATGGCCGGCTAACTGTCATAATGAAGCCTAGAGAAAAAGAGAAGAAAACAGAAGAGATAAGAACTTTTAGGTTAAAAGCCCCATACCAAATATTGCAATACTATAGCTTTTAAGATGTTTTGAGCCATTTTGAAGAATTGGACGCTGAAATGCTGAACAGAGGGGAAATATACCTGTTTTTAAGTTTCTTGAACCAATAATTGCTTTGCAAATAACAGGTTCTTTACAGGTAGCTAAAGGGACTTCAAGCTCACTAAAAGAAGATTAAGGCTACCTGGATACTAATACGCAAGAACTTACCCCAAATTCACACTGGGCTAAATAAACGCACTGTTACAAAATACATGGGCTCTTAAAACACTCTTATGTGTCTTATGGGCCACTATTATGGTTCACGCAGTGGAAGTGACTAAGTGATTATGGTCAAGCATTCATAAGAAATGTTACCCTGCACTACACAGTATTTCTGGCGATTCTAAGGGGAGAGGAGGAAAGAAGTCGAGGTGCTGCCTCATGTTCTAACTTACCATCACCCATCTGGTCTGCATAGGGCAGGCTGAAAGAGGCCATGTCAATCATCCGGTTTGGCAGGTTGATGTAGAAGCGGCCCACACTGGTCTCCAGGTTACTGAGCTGGTTCAGTACCATCATGCTGCCCTTCACAACGGGGAGCTGGGAACGGTCCGAAACGCCGTACTTTGCCGAATTCTGTTCTGCCAAATCCCGCATGAACGCCAGCTCTTTCAGACCTGTCACACCCTCTGTGAAAGAAACAGGAGAGTAAGGGTTGACCAACTAGGCAACAAAAGTTCAGATATAGAAGAAGTGCTTTAGGAATGACTAGGCGCATAACACCTGAAAGAACAGTTCTCAGGCATTTATTTGACTGAATGTAAACAAATCAATCAATGTCAACACACAATGATGGCTACTGAACATGGAACTGAATCAACAGATCAACAAATCGTGGATCTGCCAGACTGACGGACCAAAAACTAATCAAAGACAAGACCATGTGCAGCCAGGGGTAGACAGATATAAAAATCAACAAGTCAATAATTACAAATTATACACAAAATTCACAAATTATAGAAACATGCTCATTATATATACACATCATATTTATAATTAACAAAAATGCTTCAGTACCAAAAAACAATCAGGTGATGCTTTGAAAAAGGAAATATTTATTGAAGTCTTTTCATTAATAAGATCATTATTGTTGTGGTTACTGTGATGGTTCCTCCCTGCCGAGCTGGTCCACCCTGACATTCGATCTAGATAATTAGGTACTATCTGACAACTGTAATGATAGCCTCGGTATAAAGTCAGCTTATTTATTTATTTCAATAAAGTCTTCACTTATCTGCTAAGGCTTTGTTGTATAGTGTGGTATTATCAATGCTTAGTGGTGGGGGCACAGTCACACAACTCTGATGAAGGCTTGTTAAAAGGGAAAAAAATATGCCAAAAAAAAAAATCTCCAAGGCAAGTGGCCAGGCTGTACATTTTTAATGACCAAATGTGCAATGTTGCGGCCAGGAGCACTGCGCAATAGGAATTGTCTATCCCTGAGTGTAGCTCTTGAATAAGCCTTTAACTTCAGAACAAAGAAAATGTAGCGACAAAATAAAAACATACTGTGATGTACAACATGGAGGTTAAAATGTAATTAGTGTGTCAATGTTCTTTGCCAGCATTATTACCATTTTTGTTAAGGTTTAACTCTGTAAATCAAATCATTCAGCAGACAAGTCAAAATATGACTGATATGAAAAGAAAGAGAGGAAGAAAGAAAGATATAAAAAATCGTGTGTGATTGTGCGTGGACACATTCAGCAGCCCACAATTGCCAGGTCCACAGCAGAAGCCTACTCCTTTACACCACCATGCTAATCAGCTTCAATCATATTTCTGTCATCTACACACAAAAGCCCCTTCCCCTCTTTCATGTCACCGAGTGCCCTTTGATGTGTTCTGTTGCTTTTCTCTTTCTTCTTTTAGATGTCCTGCATTTTAATGTTCCTGATGCTGAAGTAATGTATGTTAATAACAGACTAATGCATGCAGGTAGAGAACCAGGTGAGGAGTGGGACAATAGAAGGCCTTTCTTGTGAAGAACTCATACACATACACACACACACAAACACAAACACAGAGATTAAAAAGATGAGGAGGCACATGCGCACAGATACAGACACGAAACATCTAATAAACAGCTCTGGTTGCAAAGTAAGAGAGCTGTGATGAAGGAGCGTAAACTTATAAGGGGTTACCATTGATGAGAGCATAGGTGAGGATCATGACTGAGTTGTTGAGGTGGTGGTTCTCCTCCTTTATCACGCTCAGAGTGGCTCGCTTCTCATGCTCTGACGAGTCTCGAGAGGTGATGCCCGACGACAAGTAGATTATCACCATGTCAGTGTCTGAGGAATGGGGGGGGAGAGAGAAAGAGCGAGAGAGAGAGAAGACATATCACTAAAGGCTTCAGAGGTTCAGTCCTATAGATCTAAGACTGCCATCTGTCAGGTGTCTTACTGATCTGCTGTTTGCTGACGTTGCTGGTGTTCCTCAGAAGCTGGAAGGCCTTTTGGAAGCCCAGGGCATGCTGGGTGGGGCTGTCAGAGGCTTTAATGTTGTTGATGAAGGTGCTCATCTTCCGCTTGGTCTCACTGGTGGCTGGGGACAGAAAGCTCTTGTAGCATTGATCCAGGGAACAGGAACGAACAGCATCAGCTACCGTCAACACTGAGATCTGTGCGTGGGAACAGGAGCTATGGTCAGTACCTTTGGCTCAGAATAAATAAGTAAATAAAGAAACAAACAAACAAATAAATAAAGACTACACAACATGGACATAAAATACAATGAGCGCTAAAGCTGCTGGATACTGGATGATGAAATGTAAAGCAATAAATTATGATTACAATATACAATTTCACTGTGTGTATTGTAAAACTCAGCATTTCCTGAACACCTTTAACTAAGTGAAATTAGTTATCACATCCTTTACAGGGAACAGACATTTTTCTACACATTTTAGGGCACTATTTCTATTTATTTGCTTAATTTAACATACTGGAAAAAACAAAAGATAAAATATAAAACATGCTATAAAATATGGGCTGTGCAGAAATTGTTTAATTTTTATTTTCCAATGTTAAAACCAGCAAATAAACAGCAAATGCGTATTACAATGTGCAGAAGTACGTTCTCTGTAGAGGATATGTACATACTTTCACTTAGAGAACCAACAAAATTTAATTTAACCAGGGGTGCCCAAACGTTTGCATACAACTGTAGGCCTACGTTCTTTCTAATATAATTACGTCACAGTGTACTGTAATTTGATCTGTTTTGTTAGAGCAGCCCTTTGTGATGTGCTGGAGTATGCTTTTTCTCACTTTGTCGTGTTCATCAATGGAGTTGAGAATGACAAGGGCGGCATCGCGAGCGATCTGGAGCTGCGTCTCACTGACAGATGCGCCATGGTCTATGAGCACCACAACTTGCTTTGACTGGGGCCTCACCGCAGACACATACACAGGCCTGAAAAAACAGCAGATTAAATGCTTTTACATAAACAGTTCAGACTTACACAAACAGTGGCCCTCTGAATGGTCCTCTGAGTAACTATAAGCTGGGTATTTCATGGTATGCTTAAGGTTAGAAAGACAGACTGACAAAAAATAAGGGAAAGACTTTTGTCTGTTCAGTTTTGTCTTTGTAACCGGACTGTATAGAAAACCAATCTACTGCCCAGTCCCTCAGCTCTGTAGGTGGGCCTTAACTGGACTGTAGTATTCACATTCTGCCATCTTCACCTCCAGCTGTCCTCTCAATAGTGTTTGCACAACAGATTCAGTTCTCTGGCATGTTTCCTTTGGGGGTTCTCTGTATATCAGCCTGAGTGGCTGAACAGTTCAGGATTCTAAATGTGGAAAAGTAACTCCCTCTCTGTCATACATAAAGCAGAGGTCACTGTTCCATAATAAGCCTAAAATACAGATGCGGATAAGAGTTCACATGCATGTGTGAGTCTGTATATATACATGTATGTATGTGAAGAGAGGGATAAAAAATCAAGAGAGAAAACAACAAAAATGAGAGAATGAGGAAGCAACTGAGAGAATGAGACAGGGAGAGATAGGCTGGACTAGAAAAAAAAAAGAGAGACCATTTCTTGAGGCTGTAAAAATCCTCCCTTGCCTTCAACATGACGTGACTGATTCCACTGATTGTAACTCCAGCGCATAAATATTACAGCCTCTTAATAATCAAACTTATGCCCTGCCACAGTAGAGCAAAAGCTAGTAAGCTCTAAAACACAGACAGATCTGGGTGTTACCTCTCTCTTTTTTCTTATTTTTTATTTGATTAGACACAGTCATTGTGCATGTTTAAGCCTTTATTAAGAAATGGAAAAATACCTCAGGGTGGTTTTGATTTACACACTGACCTCTGCTCTTAAGCTGTGAAATTTAGCTGACAGACCAAGCAATTACTTTGGAAAAACTTCTATGAAGTGGGGGGAAAAAACTGGTGGGAAAGGGTGATGTTCTCCAAAAGTGATTTTTTTCCAGCATATGGAGAGCATTTGGCTGAAGTTTTCATCAGTTAAGTGGCCTAAATGCAAGGAAAATAAAGATTGTGTCTTTACATTTTCTGCAAAAGAAAGGCGAAGCAAGAATGATATAGTGCTCTACGCAATAAGAATTTTCTCACTGGCTGTGTTCCAGTGTGCTTGTTTTCCCTGAGCTCTGCTGATAGCCCTTTGACTACTTCTTTGAGTGTGTGAGCGTGAGTGTGTGTGTGTGTGTGTGTGTGTGTGTTGTGTGTGTGAGTTTCTGCACCTGCTCCTGTGCTCATAGGTGCCCTTGCAGTGGAACTTGTGAGCAGGAAACACAGTGAAGATGCCCTCCTCTGAGCTGAAGTACTGCCACTTGATGCCAGGGTTTGACTTCAGGTTGTCTGCCAGCACTACAAACATAGTAAGAGAGAGGGCGAGAGAGACAGAAAACAGAAGGGTTATTAGCTTTAGCCTTTTTCTGCAATTTCTATCTAAAGCACCACTTAAACAAAACCACAAAACAATAAAATATACCATGACAGAATGCTTTTCCTTTCTACCACTCACTTTTAAGCCTACTTCTTAACATAAACACGTCCTATAGGAGCCACAATACCCATCATGAAGCAAGTCACAGTGAGAATTCTGCAGAGCTGCAGCACTTTGGTCTTGGCACACGCAGTAATGCTGCAGTGGTAATGCAGTGTGACTAGGCAGCCTGAGTGCGTTTTACTTGGAGAGGCCTCAGGTTTGTGAGGACCTGAGCTGAGATTGAAACAGACAAACTCATTCTATCCAAACAGCACACAAACAGCCCCATCACAGCACTCACCATACCATAAGTGTTCATCTAATCTTCAGAAGTATGAACTCAAAGAGAAGGAAGAAGACACAAGGGGGGCGGAAGAGAGTCAAGAATGGAAAAATGAACCTCCTCAGAGTGCACCTCTTAAGGGAGCTACTTAGTAGTGCAGAGGTTCAGCCTACAGTTGGGACTCAGGTTGCACAGTGCATCAACCACTGAGTTTCAACTGTGATTCTCCCTGAGGATACAATTAGACAGAGTTCACACAAAACTAACCTCACACAAAAACTGATATTTCAGTGCCAAGTCTATGCCAAAACAGAAAAAAAAAAAAATTCTACTGTATCAGCTCCACTACATAAACACTGGTTCAACATTGCTGCAAACAAAAGAGAACTTCGGAAAGGCCACCGGAGCAAGAGAAAAACCAACGTGACAATGCCGTCTAAATTTGTTCTTTCTCACCCACATATGACTGCCAGTAAAACTACACTGAAAAATAACTATACATAAAATGCATACATACAGAACACAACATTGAATGAGTTACATAAACATCAAAGAAGGAAAAAAACTGGAGCATTAAAAAGGAGCTAATTAAAGAAAGAATGGGAAAAACGTTCCTTGAGCAACACACCAGGGGCAACAGTTTAACTGCTAACATGAAGCCACTTGTCTAGGCCCTCAGTTGTGAGCACACAAACAGATAGAGCAAGATTTCTGATTCTGAATGGCCTGGATGCCCTTAAATCAAACCACTAACAGGAGAGAGGAGCCCATTCTGGCCTGCTGCACATACGAAAGCCTCCACCGCCATCAATCTGGACTGATTGTATAAACAGGAACTTTGCAGCATGTTGACAGTTTGAAGAATCATATACATTTGCTGCCCTGCAACACTTAATCCTCCACCCAGTGTTTAGAGTAGCTGAGAACCGCAGTCAAGAGGTGAGGGCCCTCCATTTCCTCTATCCCTCCCTTCTCACTCTCTCTCCTTCTTTCCATTTCTTTACTCTGTTAGCAGTCCCATCGCTCTCGAAAGATTTTTTTTTCCATCGAACAAACTCAAGCAAGGTGGACGTGTAACAAATTTGAGTAAAGTGGAACACTTGTCTCCACTTTATTCCTCCCTTTAAACTTCTCTCTCACTCTAGTTCAGTTTGTATTATAAACTCTTGCTGCCTTGCAAAATACTTATACACTGTAATGCACATCTGTAATTGCCTCAGAGAATAAACTCCTGTCTTATTTGTATCAGTACATTTTTTCTTACTGGATTCAAATATTAAATTTTCTCACCACACTGTTTCCCCTCTTTCTTCTCCTTCCTAACTGATCAATTTCCACTCAACCTTTCTACATTCTGGCCTCCATAACCACCCCCCACTCTCTCTCACCCCTCTCCTCAGTCACACTCTGCTTAAGTGAGTGCTGTGCCTCAGCTCGGCTGAAATGTGACACTCACATACATGACAGCCAAGAGCACGCTAAAGCACTCTGAGAAATAAACAGATAGAGAGGTGAGGGGAAAAGAAGGAGGGAGCGAAAAAGGAAAGGGGAGAGGAGTGAAGTGTGGGGTGAGAGGAGACACTATTGAGTATGTCCAACTCATGAGAGAAACCACCACACACACCTTCACCCATTCATCATACAGATGGCTGCCTCTCTCCTGTTAGCCCTTCTGAAAGGCGGTTTGCATGTCTGCCTCTTTCTCCCTCTCCTCCCCTCCTGGGCCCTGTTTGGACTAACTGGAGACAAATGTGGCTGATGACTGTCTCTATGGTGTAAGGGTCAATGCTGGATGACAAATAGTGCGAGAGTGGTAACATGAACTCTTGATGACTGCTTTAGAAAAATAAGCTGCTGGATGAAGATGAATTGGGGTAATCTTTGCTGGAGTAAGCAGGGAATGCAAGCGAGGCTAAATGGGTGAGAAATGAGGTCACAACCAAGAAGGTCAACAGACGAGCACAGCCAAAGCAGGCTTTCATGGTGAAACTTCAATGAAGGTAGGTTGCAGGTTGCATTAAGCATAATAAACATAAGGCGCATGGGACACATGATTATGATTATTTCACTATAGTTAGCAAGATTAGGAGGCTTAGCTTGAGTTTTTCATATACTGAATCATTCTGTATTTAAAATAAATGTGGACATATAAAAGGAGGTACCTTGCCTACAATTGCATCTTTATATGATAAGACAGAAAAGAATAAACCAGCCAAGCAGATCACAACACAGCAGGCTAAAAGCTGTGGTTACACTACATGATTTTTACTCCAACTTTAGCTCTAACCAGCAGTTTTTGTGGTTGGGAGAGGAAATCGAGGGACACAGACTCTTCATTGAATTTCACAGCAGTCAGAGTACATCAAATGTTTGAAATGACCCAACATTTGAATTGATATGGTTGTTATTTACAGAGCCCAACTGAAATATCAGTGTAACACAGGGAGATTCACTCGAAAGAGGCCCCGAATATTCTGTTGTAACTCCCGTTAGCATGAAGCAATCTGAACCAAAAAAATACGCTACATACCTTCATGTATGTGTTATCAATGGCATTACATGCGATGCTGGAAGTGATCACCGTTTTCTGCCAGACACATGAAGGAATCTAACAAAGTCAAGTCACTGGATAACTCAAATTGTGGCACCTCTCTAAACACCATCATGGTAAGTAATATATATAAAATTAAAATATTAAAATATAAAATGCATTCCTTTACCTAACCTTTAGCATGAGAATAGCAACTTGACACAAAAAATAATGAAACTATGAATACTAACGAAAACCAAGAAAAACGAGAGGTGAATAATAGAAACCAAAAACGCAAAGCATTCTGGGTAGCTGTGCGCCCAGTGCTAGAATATATATGACTGTTCTCAAATAATATATTGTAGCACTGCTGTGTTTAGGATATATGTGACAACTGAGAACTGACCATCATATCGGTCATTAAATGCTGTTAAACTAAAGCTACTGAAATATAAAATTAAAACATAAAATTATTTTGGCCAAAAGTATTGGATAAAACCAGTATTGGCAATTTTCACACTGATCATGCTCTTGTAATTTGCATACTGGGAATACTGGTCAATCTGAATCTATCTAATCAACAGCCAATAAAAATTGAAAGTGTGAAAAAGTAAATACAGTATGGGAATAAAGAAAAATGAGGACATTCATGTGTGTAGTGGAGCTTTGTAATTAATTTGTTAAAAGCAGGAGCACAATTGAGTGGTGAATTGAGCAGTAAATTCCAAAAACTACCAAACACAAATCATGTCTCCCATCTATGACCTTGTGAAATGTGTTTCATCTGTTTCCTCTTTGTTGTGTCAGTAGAATCGGTGGAGAAAACAGGAGCATCAAGCTGCTACACTTCCATACCTGTGTATCCTAGTGACAGGAGAGTGTGATATACTCAAGTCTTTTCATAATCTGTTTTTCTGTGCATTGTAAAAGTTATGTAGTGTATTCTAGTCTTAAAGCATTAGAAACACTGGCACAAGCCAGATTCAAACAGCCATCATGTTAACCTCAGCTGGCTGGCTAAATAGCTACCAGTAAATAGTAACATTGCAATCTTCTGCTTTATTTTCATGTCCAAGAAATGTTGACTGAAATCACAGTTGAAACGATACGATCAAGTGGTGCATCACTGCTGTTTTGATTGATCGTTTCACAAACTTTGTTTCGCAAAGTTGAGACAACTGCTGCTGTTGCAGTCGAGTGCCAAACAAGTTTCAAGTGAAACATTATACAGTGTAATGTAATTTCACTATGTAAAACCAGGGTAACGGTTTCTACTAAATATTATAAATATTTGTTTTCACCATGTTTAAAGTTCAGAGCACTGCCTTCAGAGGAAGCTCTAGGCATAATTGTCACCCCTGGTGTTGCTGGAGAGTCACATTGTTTTAAAACACTACTGCACCCTGTGCATCACATTTTCTTAAGCCAGCATTGATATTCATATTCTTAGCCCACACAATATGCTTGGACACGTTTTCAAATTCTTCTGGCATCTCTATGAAAAAAAAGACTTGATAAAAACTCGATGAAATAAACATTTAAGGCACGAGTTTCATTTGGCACACTCAAAGGATTAGCGGAAAAACATTGCTTATTTGGGTTTGATTAACGATTAATAATTAACTAAGAAAATCCGTCATGGTTTGTATGCAAGATTGCACTGCATGAAGTGCCTATGACAGAGAGAGGAAGACTTATACAGCTCTAAACCTCAAATGACAAAAACACACATTTCCTGCCTGGAGACCAGAGCACTGATCAAGGGGATCAGGACAGACGACTTTTAAGTGTATGAAGGAGCATTCATTAAGACGGATGCAACAAGAGGGAATAAGAGACAGAGTAAAGGGAAGAGAATTGATGTGGGAGAAAAGGAAGACAGAATATAAAGCTCTTCTCATAACGTATTCAACAGCCATGTTCATTTCTCTCTCTAAAAGAGCAAAAAAAGAAAAAAAAACCTTATTACGATTTGACATCAGATAAGCAATATTATTCTTTGAAACTGTTGCCATGACAGCAGCTAGCCAAGTGAAAAAGAGCTCACTGGTTTTGGGGCGCGTATGTATTATAGTGCTCACCCGAATTGAGGTCTCGTCCTGGGTTGAACGCTCGGCTGTTGACGGTGGGGGATAACCGATCGCAGCTGATGGTTTTTGACACATTTGTGTTAAAATTTCCATCAAACCTGGAAAACAGAAAGAAATATATATATATATATATATACACACACTTTCCACATATACATAAATAAAGCATGACAGCATTGAAATGTTCACGCTAACAGCAAGTGAACACTGAAATGCGTTAACACATCGCACTGCAAAGCCTTGAGGATGTCTACACTGAAAACGTCTAGCGTGCAAGTCAAGTCAAAATGTAAACAAATGGACTTATCGTAAAATTGCTGCGACTTCAGCTAAAATAAATGAGTATCCAAGCTACGGTAAAGTCTTGTGCAGCTGGTCTCGTTCCTCCTAAATTCAGTCCTAACTGAAGCTGTTTGCATCTGTTAACTTGACTGCTAATTCTACTTAGCTAACTAGCTGTATCCTTATTATTCACTGAACCAAAAACAAATGGTATTCCTTTACCTCCAAATTCCAGCACTCTGGCCACTTCCCTCCAAATAGCTTCATTTCTGTTAACATATTTATAATATTTAATGGAAGGATTGTTTGGATAACCCTCTTTTCTCCACTTCATAGATAAGTTGCTCCTCATCTATTTTTAGATGAAATGGCAGATTGACATAACATGTCAAAATAGAAAAGGGGTGTCCATCAAAAACCGTGCTTTGTTGCTTGGTGTAGACAACTTCACTGGTTATAATGGGAACATTCTGACTTTGCTGTTGATGCTCATGTTGCTTCCTGTGCTAGGACACTGTGCCAGTCTTATTAAGTTCTTTTGACTGCAGTGCATGTTTTAGACCTCTCTTTATTAAATACACACACACACAAAGGTTTAACAGTCATCCCGTTTCAGTTTCCCATTAAGGTTTTCATCACTCTGCGTGTCATGTTGGTCCCCCTAATAAACTGCCACATATGTCATTGTCAACTTTGTCATTTTTCACATTTTCAACTTTTATGAACATTAATAATAATGCAGAGTGAGTTGAACAGAAAGTCTGGGAGTTTTAGAAAAAAAATCATTCACATTGTGAACACAATATGAATACATGCAACATGCTAGTGAACTTGTTAGGCCTGTCACAAATGCCTAAACACATTTTCTTTTCATTAGATCAGTAGAATAGCTAATGGTACAAACAGAACCTTACAAACAGAAGTTAGGGCACCACTGGGGTTTTCCTACATTTATGACAGCATTTAAGAAATTCTGTGTACATAGTGGTTCTGTAATACTCTTTTTCTGATCCGGAGTTAAGATTATAAGAGGATAAGATTATGATCTTATTGATTATGAACTGTTGTTCTGTAATAGCTATCATCCTAAAATTCAGTCCTGACTGAAGTTGTCATAGTGACCAAATGGATGTTACCTATACTATGAAAAATACTGAGAGTAAAATATCTTCAATAAAACATGAATCATGCATACTCATTTCTTTCAGGAACAGTACTTCAAGATCAAGTCTTTGAAAGCATGCTCTACACAAATATACATAAACCCCGCCGCGAAATGAGAAATAGTGAAGAACTGGATGTAGAACAAATGGGGTTTCTGGAAGCATTCTAGAACAATGATCACCTCAGAACAGCAGAGCAGGCATCACTTAGAACAATCTCTCTCTTACTCTCTCTCTCTTTCTCACAGATAAGATGATCTCCTTACACACTACTTTTGAGTTTTTGAGAAACTGAACGAAGAGAAGCAGATTTTAAATGGGGAGTCGGGTGTGTCAGGATTTTTTCAAATGTTATTATTAAAACAATTAGTTAAAAATAATGATTAAAATTCATGTTGGATACTCTTATCGTAACCAATATAAAAGACTTCATATTACATATTAAGCACTACATGATCGTGCCCCTTAGTACTTAACAGAATTATTCCACCCATTTATCCCTGCCCACACCTTTTATCGAAGCCTCAAATCCGGCCTGCTCATCGCCCCACAATTCAGACTACAGCTGGCAGTATACTTAAACTAAAAACCACATTTTGAAGTAAAACACCATCTTTTTGGCCAAAACTACAAAGTTGTTTGAGTCTGATCTGCTGAACAGATCCTGTGTGTTCTAAGAGCTCCTCTGACTGTTAGTGTTGTAACTCCCAAACTATAAAACTCTCTCTTTTGGACCTGCTACCTTACCAATTAGTATTTTTATGTGTTTAATGAGTTATGAGATTTATCTATTGCTGATCCTGTGTTTACACTGCTGTTCTGAAGCAACCTTAGGTTTGAGAAAGAGTGTCCAATTCTATTAGCAACTACAGAGATTACATAGTTGTATGCACAACTGAACACCTGTATTAGCCATGGGCACATCTTAAAGTAGCTGAATTCACTCATTTGAGGGACAGTCTGGATACTTTTGGACAGACAGTGTAGCTTAGCATATTGCTGCTCATCTATTATAGTCCCTTCATTAATATATTTCTAGCTCCATTAAGACCTGGATAAAATAAATCAGCCAGCAGCTTTCAGACAGACACAAACACATTAAAAGTGTAACATAAAACTGTACAGAAATCCAAACCTAAGGATCTATGACAGCCATGTATAAAAATGTTTATTCACAAAACAGTTTGCGTGTGTGCATGAAAGTGTGGGAGAGAATGAAAGAGTGCAATGGTTGTTCCTCAGCAGACCCCTACTGTGCTGTTATGTCTAGTCCCAGCTTGCTCTGATGAAGCACTGATGTAAAGCCTGTCTCAGGAGACTTCCCTGCACTGATTCCCTCACGCATGCGCACAGAACCTCTGAACTGCTTGCTCCATTCAACCTATCACATCTGCACACAAAACAGTTTTGTAATGACAGAGAAAGAGGAGTCAGAGAGGTTATCACTTATAGTTTTCTTTTTTCTCCACTCCTCCTCTCTCGCCATGCCCATACTGCACCCCTAAATATCCCCAAATTCCCCTTTGCCACCTTAAATGATCATACTTTCTCTTTTAAACCTTTCTAATCCTCAGTACCAATCTATTTCGCTCCCCTCTCATTCCCTCTACCTCTCTTCCGCCAGCATCCTCCCCCACTACCCCCCCTCGCTTCCCCTCCTCCACTAGCAAAGCAGGAGCCAGGCCGCCTCTTGATTGACAGCTGCTGTGATGTGCAGAGTGCTTTGAACTTCAGACATTTAATTCCCATCAGGCTCTAGTCATTAGAATTCTCCTTCAGCACACTTTACATGTGGGGGCTAGGCAAATGCGGCAGATAAAAAATACATTTGCAAGCTCTTTGAATTTAACATCAGAAAAACTGAGTGAAGGATAGAAAGAGAGCAAAAGAGAGAGTGAAACCGAGAGAGAACGAGACAGCAACAGAAAGCCAGAGAGAAATAGGGCTCTATTTTCTCCTACACCACTTATTTGGGCTCAACATGCAAATTAACGTCTCACAAAAACATCCAGGAAAGAAGGGATGAAAAAAGACAAAACAGATGAAAACAAAAAAAGCCCTAAGGTACTATTCAGTATGAAAGATATTCAGTAGCAGAATCATTATTAAAATAATGACCTAGCAGTAGTTGAACAGGGGAGGGGGAGGAGAGGTCTGCTCAATAGCATTAAATTACCTAAAGACATGTAGAAAAACAACACTACACTGATTTTAGAGCATTTCAGTCTGTATATATATATATATATATAAATATAACTCTATGAGTGGATATGTATGGAAATGTGTGACAATGCATTTATTACCTTCAATAATTCAACATGAACCTTAACATGAAACCTTGTGAATGCAGGATGAACATAAAAATAGGGTGAATGTAGTTTCTAATTACTGAGTCTACTGAGAACAACAGCGGCTGCACGTTTCACTGCAGCTCATCCGCAACTGTAGACCTCTCGCTCTCATACCACTATGTTACATTTTCAAAGGGATCTTTGTTATCACTATTTGTTTAATTATTCATAGTTTTTCCCATGAGAGCTGTCCAGCTTAGTCTGAAAAAAGTCTTCCAGTGCTACCGTTACTGATATTACAGATACCAACATCAGTGCTGTTTGGCTTGTAAATGAAACTTTGGACTCAATGTACTTCTGTAATAAATAAATGCACAGCAGCTAGAAATAACTGTTTTTATCAAGACAGCCATCAAGAGAACTTTCTATTTAAAAGCAGTATTTGAATGAGAAGGCTGCAGTGAGTCATAGCAACAGTGGCGAGCAGCTGGTATTCAGGTTGGAACTATGGATGCTTTAAAGGGTTAAACTAGGGAAACGCAATAACGGTGTGTACAAAAGAGTAAAAAAATTCCCATCAGTGTCAGCATTTACCTACATGACTACATGCAACATGTTACACAAAACAAAACGGAGCATATCACACTTCTATAAAGAGCTACATAACAGCACCCTAATCCTCAACTGCTTTTAAAGTGCCATCTCTCACAGTCTCGCTTCCACATTTAGAAGCATTTGATTTAGTGATAAGTTCAGGTCTCCTGAGAGACCACTCCAGCACTAATAAAGCTCAGGCGGCTCATTGCTCTGTCAGAGTCGTGGAGATAAGATCCATGCAGCTCTGTAGCATCCTCTCTGTCTGACTGTGTGTCCACTTCTGCTCTCATTCCTCATCTATCAGAATGCTGCTTCATTAGTGCAGAGGTTAAGAGGAGCCTCATGGCAGGATTTGGAGACCCTGCCATACATATGGACTAAGAAAGGCACGTGACTCGAGAGTGCTACAAAAGTCCAGGCCGATTCATTAACTCAATCTGAGCTAGCACAATCCAACAGTGACCAAAAGTCTCAGGATGAAAGAAAATTTGAGGAAAAGAAGGGGATGAGGAGAAGGGATAGCTAGTTTGTGTAGGTAGTATGGAGGGGCTTCACACAGAGTAATTTAACTATTTAGCTAAAGCTACCAGAGAAACAGCATGTCATCTGATAAACTACAGTTGTGAAGCTAGCACTGAGAAACTACAGCTGTAAAGCTAGCACTGAGATATTATAGATTTAAAGCAGTCGTTAGAAGATTATAATTGTGAAGCTAAGACTGAAAAACTAAAGTTTAAAGCTAGAATTAAGAAACTTAAAGTGTAAAGCTAACACTGAGAAACTACAGTATAAAGTTAGCATTAAAAAAAAAATGGTTAAAAGCAAACGTTAAGAAACTACAGCTGTATGCAAACGTTTGCGTGTCCTTGGTCAAATTACGCATTTTGTTGATTTTACACACCTCCAACAGAGAACACTGCACATTTTAAATGCATGACTGCTGTTTATTTACTGAATTCTACATATTGGGGAAAAATAAAATTTGGCCTGTGTAAAGTTAAAATTGAGAAGCTATCATTTAAAGCTAGAACTGATGATTTGTTGACAAACTATAGTTGTAAAGCAAGCACTAAGAAACTACATTTACATGGCAAACAATAAGAAACTAGTCCTAAAGTTAACAAAGAAACATGTAAAGCAAACACAGAGAAACTTTCTGAAGAGGACATACTTCAGAGTCTATTACAGTAAAGCTCCTGTTGTATTCAGAGCCACCATGGCCTGCCAAAACTCAATCTAGTATAAATGGAGTTGGACAAAGAAAAAAACAGTGTTTGAAACATTAGTAAACACAAGTCATGACACTTTTCAGCACAAATTCAACAAACACTCAAAAGCAACAGTGAGCAATAGGAAACCTTTTCCAGCAAAGAAAGAACAGAGAACAGACAGAGTAGAATAGAGAATAAAGAGAACATAACAGATTTTATACATGAGTCCATGAGGACTACATTAGGTTCATACAAGCTCACCCAATTTAAACAGACCAACAGTGATGACACCCTGTGATACCAGTGCTAAATATAACTTGAAGATAACTATGCCAACGGGTCTCTCATCTAAACTGTCAAATGCTCATCAGGGCCATTGAAAGCTGCTTATATTGACAACAGGACTGTACAGGCCCAAAATGGGAAGAGGTGAAAATTCATAGCTGAGAATGAGTGTAAAAAAAAAGGTTTATGAGGCTGAAGGCTGGGCTCATGCCTAAATCCCTTTAAGCAGTAGGAGATCACATGCTCCCAGAGAGAGAGAGAGAGAGAGGTGGGGAGGTTATTTTGAGATGGCTGCATCATTGGTTAAGTGAAGCAGGCGGCGAAGGGACGAGTATTGATTAAAGCATTCTTGGGTGGTCAGAGTCTACTGAAACACACTAACTAAATGGGTGATGGGCGCACGACATTGATACAGTGTGAAATACTTGATCTTTCGTCTGTGAGTGAGGGCAGAAATACCAGCTGTAAAAGGGTTAGATGAAGGAGCCTAACGCATTCTTTAAAATCTCATTCATAAACACATCACAGTTCACACCTTCACATGTATCTGAAGACATGCAACATTAGCAAACAGGACTGATAAAGTTTTCATAATGTAAGTCCCAAATAATAAAAAATATCACTAGAAATGTTCTCTACACCATTGTATTAAACGTAAACAGTGAATTTATTCAGGACACTGACAGCTGACGAAGCACTGAATTCATAAAAGCATGTTCTGTGTCACCTGTTAATCCACTGCACTTCAGCTCTTGTATGTTATCTAATCAGTCCAAGAAAAAAATGTCTCATGTTCTCACTTGAATGAAAACCTCTAGATGCAAAATAGATGGTAATTTTCAAACTCAGATTTACGCAATACTTTGTATCACTTCAGGACCAAACTAGTTCTGGATTACATTATCTAGGCTGCAGTGACATGTGGTGGCCTGCCCTCGTTTAATAATAGCAGTTTCATACTCAAAGAAAACCTCTATATAGAGAATCTCCCTTATCAAAGGTTCAGAAAAGCACTTCAACTGTAAATGCACAGTGAACATATAATATGGTAATATGGTCCAGACTGGCCTGATTTGAGAGAAACCAGTTATTAGTCATCCAATTAAGACACCAGTGACCAGTTACAGGGACAAATTTTGCATTTTAGAATGTGTTTTAAAGTTTGAACTATAAACACAACCAACACAATATCTGTGTGAAACCAGAAATTCTCTGAACTCTCTGAAAAACAGAATTATTTGCAGGTGGTAAACAGTTCTATCATAATATACAGCACAATTTCAGTTCATTCCAGTGACTCACTCAGTGATATTCCTGTTACTCTGTCCTCGGGGAGACTTTTTCAACTTTTCAAAACTGTCACTGTGAGAGCTGCACATTTCCACAAAGTGATCCAAAAGTCTGAGAGTGTTTATGAGAGCTCTTTGAAGTTTTAGTAGCAGTGTGCTATCAGACAGCTCAGTCTAACAAGTGAAGCAATCTCCTCTCACTCTCTTGCTCCTACACTCACACTTTCATCTTAATATTTTTTTGGTGAAGCTGATGCTTAATTTGTTTATCTCTAACAGTTCTATAGAACACAAATTTAAAAAAAAATAAATCAAAGAGTGTATGGCTAAGGTTTTCAGTGCTACCTGCATGTCCATGTATCTACAAACAGTACTGCACAGATGTCAGAGATAAGCTTTCATTTATTTAATTTTCTGTAAAAATGACCATTAAGTTAAAGCAAAAAATAGGAAACATACTTAACACAAAATGACACAGAAACCTCAACAACTAAACATATTTTTTTAGTTTAGGTTAGGTTAGTGTGTCCCTACTTCGCCTTAATTAGAGCTTTTCCATTCTTTTCAAGAGACTTGCTTTTAGTTTTTCAAAGAAATCTGAAATCTTTAAACACCTCTAAAATTTAGTCTTAGGAGTTTGTTGCATTTTTTTGCTTCTCACAATCCAAATAATCCCAAACATATTCAGTTATGCTGAGCTCTGGATGCTGTGGTGGCCAGTTTATTACTCTAAAAACACCAGCAGCTTCTTTGTCTGATTTGCAAATGTTTTTTTCTTTGTTTCTCTTTCTCAGAAACAGTATCTTGACAGATATAATCCCTTCAGATGCATTATTTTCAGTTTCTTCTCACGGTGGAAGAATGGGCAGAAATGTGGATTTTTTTTTCTTAGATCTGTAGCAAGAGAGGAGCTTGATTTTTATCTCTCAAAAACAAAAACTAAGCACTGTTTATCTGATGGTGACGGTTCTGGTGGTCTACCAGGTCTTGCACAGTTGTTAGGAGTCTATTTCTCTCTGCTCCAATTTTTTAAGTCCCAGGAAACAATGTAAAATGTAAAAATGTTTGTATAATAGTAAAAGTGAGTGTTACATCAAACATTCAGCAAAATTTGAATAAACAACAAAACATGCAATATCACTACCCAGAGAAGGTGGTGGCAAAAATACACAGGCCATTTAATGGACATTGGAAAGTTATTCACAAGACATACTTTGTACATGCATACTTCATGCCCAGAAGAGCAAGATTAACCTACTTAGAAAGAAAACATAGATTTAGGTTCTCAGTGGCTTTAGTAACTTTTTGAACAGTTTTAGAAACTTCTGCTTTTTCCACCCATTTTCCTTTGACTTTTACTTCCTTATGCAGGTGGATTTTTTATACCTAATAAATCATTTAAAATGAATGGCTGTTTAAATAAGTAAAAGTTGTTCTCTGACTTTCACACAGTACTGTATGCGTGTGTGCATGCATGCATGCATGCATGTTACTGTGTAATGGAGAAAATCTGTCACATGATCATCTACAATGAAGACTCAAACCATGTGTCTGATCTGGATATTACACTCGACTGTGTGCGTGTGTGTGTGTGTGTGTGTGTGTGTCACTGGTGCCACACAGTCCCAGTGACTAATCAACACTAATCTACACTACAGGCAGTGTGGAGCACTAACTAGATGGAGCATTAGTATCAAAGCAGGCTGTGATTCAAGTCCCACTCATGATGAACTCTATATATGTGCATGTGTGTGTTGGGAAAGAAAGGAAAGAAACATTATGCATATAAACATGAACAAAGTAAACTGGCAATTCACTAAAATCTTTACTGGCAGAAAGGTCCTCTAAATGTCACTACATTTGAAAGTACAGGATAGAGAGGTTAATCGAAAAATGAGATGTTTGATCAGGAGATGAAAGATAGTTGAGGGAGGGTGTACAGATGGGAAAGAGAATGTGAAGAACAAAGAGAGAAGATAAAGGTGGGTAGAGAGGGTGAAAACAAGAGAGAGAGAGAACACAAGCGGAGGGATGAGAGAGAGGAAGAGAGAGAGTGTGAGCAAAACAGAAAAGCAAGAGCACAAGAGCGAGATGAGAGATGTAAGAGATAGCACAACCCAAAAAATTGGTGTTAGAACTCTGCAAGCTGCTCCCATTGAGATTAAGCTTGAAAGAGCAGAGCAGCCCAACTCGATTTGAGAAGCGCTTTGGCCTTTGAGCTCCTTTTTTCCACCAAGATGGGAGATAGGATACTCCTGACATTTAAAAATTCCCCCTTCAAGTACAGCAATTCCAGCCCTAAAAGCTCTAAATCTGTATGGTCAATTAAGCCTTAAGCCATGCCCTGCTAAACCCATTCAATAAATGATTTCACACACTTACTGATAACCATTCCTAGAAAGGATGTAAACGCAGTCTGGCATGCTTAGAGATTAGTCAAAAACTGTCATGGATTTTGTGTTGGACTGGGTGGGTGGAAGGGTGGAAAAGAAAGGCTAGAGTCACTTTACGTTTTTACTGTTCAGTTAAAATAAGTAACCTATTAGTATTCTGAAAGCCTCCAGAAATCATGAGACAGCATGTGATCAATGGCTTCTTCCTGAGGAAGAAAAGAACATTACTCACTCCATCATGGAAGGAGGAATTGAGCAGCAGTCTTGAATGTCTGTGAGTGGAGAGGTTAGGTGGGCCGTGTATGAAGCCTCCACCACCTGCTTGTTCCGGTTCACCACGTCTAGGTAGCGGTTAAATTTCTCCCGGATCTTCTTTGCCAGCTGAAAGCAGAATACAAGGGAACAGACTGTTTCAGTTAATGCTGCACATATAAAAACTTGGTAGATACTGTATGAGGAATGCAAGCTTTTGCACTAACCAATACAAAACACAGCAGGATGATGAGGTAAAAATCTGAATGATGGCTCATGTCAAACTAGCGGTGGGCAATATGGCAAAAATATAAATGTTACTATACTTCATGAATTTTTCACAATACACAATGTCATGATAGTTATTATTTCGGATATCTGATCGGTTGTAACAGAGAAAAATGAACCAGTAGTGCTACATTTAAAAAAAATTCAAGATCAGTACACACAATGATTTTCATTCAATATTTAGCATACTGTGCTGCACTAAATCCAGTTAAATGGAATTAATTTTGCTCTCTTTTTAATGAAACATGCAGTTGATCAGTGTTCTACAAGTACCGACTGTATCCATGATATGTTTAGAAAAGCACATTGTATTATACTGTGACATAATTTATCATGATAACAATATATATTGTCATATTGCCCAGCCCTATGTCAAACCTTGCTTTGTTGTGGACATATTCTCAAACCTGGAATCCAAATAACTAGGTACTGCATGGCATCACACCAAAAACAGTGGTGGGAAGTATATCAGTATAAAGTGAAAACCAGTATGATGTCCCATGATATTTTCCAAATCATGGATGTTGATATTTCGGTGCAAGGGGTAGCTTAAGGCGGAAACACAATCAACTTTTTTCACTAACTGAAAACCTTGCATGTGTGGAAATATGAAGCTATGAGACTGCATGTAACAGTTAGCATTTTGTCAACAAAAAAAACAAAAAAAAAAAACAAAGCTTTTCAAATGTCACTGTTTGGTTTTATGAAGTAAAAAAAAAAAACTATCATTTATTAATTTTGAAGGGCTTAATTTGATTTACATGATTATTAGTATAAAAGGTATTTAGTTTTTTAGTTTGTTATTTTTATTCATCTATTTTGGCACATCATAATGTCGTTACTGTCAAGGCAGTTGACTGTATTGTGATAATTTTTGTTTATATTGCCCAAGTTGTTTGAAACAGTGGAAAAAGCCTGAAAATGATCCAATGTGGCCAAAATCCAAAGAATTTCAACAAGCTGCGATGACTAACAACACTCGTCATACACAGATTTATGAATATTCAGAAAGTGTTGAAAACTCATTTGTACACCGTAAATAATCCAATATCCTTAAGTGAAGCTGCACAATGCTGTTCATTCTGGAAGTCTCTTTTCATTAGAGCTGCAGGTGAAGTATGTGATTAATGCACTTTCCCAGACCTGGCCTTTATTCTACATCAAAGAGTGCCTGAGCCGACCTTGGAGACTAGAAATCGATCAGCATTAGACATGCACTGCCAGTTTCACCTACGCTACAGGCTATAGACAAATGACTGGGAGCTATAAAGGGAAGCTGAGTGTCCAGCGCAGTGTCGGTTGCTTAAGATCAGCAGGCTGTTTCAGCTCAGGGACTGCATGACTCTCGTGCAAGGGAATAATGGTGGAATAAGTGTGTTTCCATGAACTCTGGTTTATTTATTCAGTAAGGAGTTCCCTGAGGAAAATGAACAACTCTAGCAGCACCGGCTCAGCAATAAGAATTCCTCCAGGTGGGGTGCATAAATTACCGGAGCGCCAACATTTTTTTCCTCACCACTGGTTCATTTAGGAAAGTAGCAACCCACAATAACACTGTCAGGAGCCCAACCCATACGTAAACGCCATTAATACTCTCAACCACAATACAAATCATCCACACATACTCACATATTAAAAACTCCATGCCAAATACAGCCACACAGCTGACACACAAAAACACACGCCTAGCTGTAAAAGTTGTAGATTAAACCACCTAATTCATCCAAAGAGAAAGAAAAAAGTGCAATAAAGCATGAGGAGAACCGCAGCAAACAAACTTCTCCTTGAAATACTGCAATTAACAGTCTCTGCCAAAATGACTCCAGCCCAGGAATGAAGAAATGGACCATGACCCATTGACCATGTACACCTAATCAGCCACACGGTATGGCCATTACAGCTAAACTTGACTCTTCATGCAACCAAGAAAAACACACAGTGAAGGGAAGGCTCCTTGTAGCCGTCTGTGTAGAGCAACATGGGAACGATTTTCCACAGTAAAGTGGAATGCAGTAAATACAAATCTGTACAAAGTGCAATAAAATAATAGGACTGTGGTGGAGAGGTCAAGCCTAAAGGAAGAAAGTAAATGTAAAGACCAATAATAAAGTGACAGATACATAGTTCACCTGTCTGTTAGATGAAAAGGTGAGACGACAAAGATTCCTCTACAAATCACACTTACGTTACTACCGACGTACTTCACTGTACGGCTAAATGAAATTGCCTTTTGATAACTAGATAAATCTGAAATAAATGAATGAGAAACATACGATAAAATCAATCGTTCCTGTAATTATTAACAGAACACCTACAGATCCAGGGACAACAGGCTAGTAGCTACTACCATCTTCTTTTAAAACGTAATCCTCTGGCTGTTTTAGATTATTTTTACATGCAGGGTAATCATTACCACAATACATCTGTTTAGGAGTGATTCACACAGAATAAGAAAATCAGTATAAATCAGGACTGATTCACACAGAACAAAAATTGGTATAAATTACAGAGATTAGAAGTGACTACTCAGTTTATGCACTGCAATCATCAATCGATACATTTGTGGAAAATGTCCAAATATTCAATCTTGTAAACATAATTTCTTTCACTCTAGCCGTCAATCTAGCTGTGTTAAGTAAATGTAATGTGTTTTATAGCCAACAGTAAATGTTTCTGCATAAAACGTTTTTTTCTCTAATATTACATGTTTTAATGGTCAGAGTCAAACAGCTTAGGTAGGACAATACAGATTGGCTTGATCTAGGCCACTAAGAATCTTTAAATAGTAAAGTTACTAGTCACTAGTAAAGTCACTATTTCAAAGACAGGTGTTCTTCCTGCATAGTAGCTTGTCATTAGGAAGTCAGTCAAAGGAGAAAAGACAAGTGCAGCAGACAAGACCGATTTGACTGTCTTTACAAGATCATCCAAATCGCTGCAGTTTTGCAGCCAGGGTGCCATTTCAGCAGGAGTGTAATGCAACTAAAAACAATATGCCTTTTTTTCTGTAATTAGCATTTAAAATGAAGTTTAAAATTGTTATTACTTAGTAACACTACTTTACACCACTTTCAAATGTGCCGCAAGTGAGTGAACTGGCCTGCCACTGCAACATAAACTCTCCTAACCATTTCTATTTTTACCTCACAGGGATCCAAAGCACGTGCCAATCTAATGCAGTGGGCAGTGCTTTTAACATACCTTTCCTCACTGCATCTGCTTGAAAATTAATGTCTTTATCTTATTGTTTATAATAACACATCTGTTTAGCGTTCATTGTAACAACATTGGCATACACTTGGCTCTTAATGCTGACTTATTACCAGTGTTACTGAAATTGATTATCTGTCCTGTGTCAAGGGAAATTGATTTAGCTACTTTTACATACTACCAGTTCCTTCCCTCTTTAACCACTTAGTAAGTCACTGATTCACTCTGAAACAAATAAGAAATCTGAAACATTGCCTATTACGTGATGTCCCTGCCACAAAATGTCAAATTCTGGCCAATAAAAGTGAAGAGTCTGTGGCCCAAGTGGCCACCTGCCATGGGGATTATTTTGCATGTGTTTTCCCCTTTTAACAAAACACCAGGCTGTTTTTCACATATTCACAAAAATCAATCATCGATATCAAAACTACTACTTTTTGCCTCCCCACACAAGATCCAGTCAGACACGGAATGAAAAGCATCAGATGAAATTTTGTCAGAATTAGTCAGAACTGTCCACCATGGTAGCTATCATGACATGAATGGTTTTCAATTAATATTTCCTTTTTCAAATGATCAGAATGAAGATGTGCTAGCAAACACATTTGTTAATCGTTAATGCAATGTATATACGACAAACATATTTCTATAAATCTGGCAACACGGTCCTAATTTTGGCCACAAGATTCATTGGCTCCATGGAGACAAACTACAGAAGGTGAATGGACTCCCATAATCTGAGAGGAATGGGAACAGTTTACAACAATTAGTCAACCTCTTATGCTCGTAGGTATATTTCGGTTTTACCATCTGAATTTACATGCCCAAATCGTAAGGCAAATTATTCAGTAACTGCACGAAATAAAAGTTTTGTTTTTTTTTGTTTTTGTAAAAGCTCCCGTCAAATGAACAGAAAATGTGTTTTATGATCATACACATAATGCCATATGCTCACAATCTACTGCTGAAAGCCAAAAATCTTAGATGCTCTTTGTATTTTTTTATAAAAAAAAATTTTTTACAGTGCACTGAAGAGACACCATCTGAGATCCAGTTTACAGCTCAACTGTTCAACTTCTAGTAATGTAAAGTTTTAAAACTACATTACCCATCTATTCGACTGGAAAGAAGACAGTTACAGCTCTGATATAACACCCACCTTTTGAATGAAGCTTATGAAATATGAAAGTTATAAAGTAAAGTATATGAAGAAGTGCATTTTGGAACCACCGATGGTTCCACTGAGTTAAAAAGGTTAAGCAATGCACCACAAACCTCTTTGAGGAGCCAACAATATAAAATAGAACAAAATAGAGCAATTTCACTCAAAGGTCATTTTCTAAATACACTGTTTATTTGTTACATGGAATGAATCAGGTGTTTTACTCCTGTTTATATTATTAGACATTAGACATATTAGACAAACATTCAGTATAAGACCCACAATGGTAACAACAGATATTGTCTGTTTCACAAAATTCTGACAGGGGTGGAATTGCTGTAATATAAAAATCACTTTAAACACTATCCACACTCCATTATAGATCCCTAATTTAAATTTTGAAAAATGATATTACAATTTTGTGCTATAACACGCATCTGCAACTATTGCAGTCTGTTTGTGCAAATTCAGAATAAGGTCTTAGCTGAGATATGCATGTGTGCTGCACCCAGAAGACTGACTATTCCAACAAGCATCTAAAAATATTCACAACATGCCTGTCAAACAAGGAAAGAATGCAGGCAAACGTTCAGTGCATCTGCACAGTGAAATTAAATAGATAATTTACACAAAATACGTTGTTTCTATAATACTAGCCTGAAGGCAAGAGCTTGGTGGAAAGTAAGCATGTTTTGAAACTTAAGATGCCACAGTCATTTACTGTCACGTACAGACACACTTCAGTCATAGCATAGTTTACATTCCTGTACGACAAAATACTGTTCTCCTTATAGCTATGCATTCTCGAACACTGCTCCAAAACTACTGAAGCTGATCTGGAAAAGCCAGTGTGTATTTATTAACTACTACAAGCTTGAACTTGTGAGGGGGAAAGGGGGGGTTTGTTTATTATATTGATTACTGCCAGTATCACTGTTCCATGTTTAGTACATAACAGTGTAGCTGAATAAAACAGCTATTGTGCATCCTAGGCACAATTAGGGCTGGACTGCCTCAGCAGGCAAAACAGTTTAGCAGCATCTAGTCCCGAAACCCAGTACAGCAATTAGCAGCCGAGGTGTCACCAGACTTGCTGCCAACACGTGGCTTAATCTCTCACTAGCAGCCAGTAAATAGCTGCAGGTGAGATGGGGGATCATACAGGAATAATTCACTCACAAGGGTGTCTCTTGGCAAGGAAACCTGAGCAAAAACTAACAACCTGTCCATTCTTGCTCAAGGCTTTTGTGATTGCTGACAAAGTGTGTTGCAGAGAAAGCTCTCTCTCTCTCTCTCTCTCTCACACACACACACACACACACACACACACACACAGTGATTACATGTGCAGTTGCTGAGCTGCTGCCACTTACGATCCTTATGATTTGAGTCTCAACAGAATGGCGTGTATACTGCTGATGGAATGTTTTAATGTCTTCCAGGAATTACAGAAGCCTCTTGTTCGCATAAGGGAGGGGCTGAGGGTAGGTGTAAAAAGTGTAAAAAGCCCCTACAGGACAGAAGCCATCTCATTACCTCTAATAACAACTAACTGGCCATACTAACGTCAAAATACAAGCATGTAAAACATATTGGCAAAAATATTTAAAAAAAAAAAGACAAAGACAAAGCATGGCACCTTTATGTAACACGTCTACAGTGTAATTCTTACACATTATTATACAGTACATTAAATGGTTGAAGAGAATCAAGTCCTTTAGTTATGCCAAAAATAAACAGTGCACAGTAATTTACCCAAACAGTACTTGTTAGAGAGAGAAATTCTGTAATCAATAGTTTCAGCCTTGGAATTACTGTTTCAGCAGAGGGGAACACAAAGTAAGCTTCAAAGCCAACCAGACGGCGACTGCAGAATTTTAATTGCCATCCTTTACCCCTACAGACTAAACACACACGCACACGCACACGCGCACACACACACACACACACACACACACACACACACACATTTACTCACCTGCTGCACCTCTGTCTCGCCATTTGAAGTCTTCTCTGTGTACACAAAGGAGCTGAAAATTCTCTGTGAGGGAGAGAAAGAGAAACGAAGCATTGCTGAAATGTGCTAGCAAAAACTGAGAAACAGCAACATTCAAACGAATCAGAATGAAATGGTTAGAATCCCAGCTGATCTCTTTGTACAAATGCAAATAGCATGCCCTCTGCAACTGTGAAGAGAAAACCGAATATTTGGGGTCTGTATTTCATACTAAATAAGGTTATATAGAGTAAGAGTGCAGTATATCATCATATATCACCACAACATACACGAATATAATTCAAATTACATTATTATAAATATAATTCACTGCAAAACAAAACATTTCCTATGTAAAGTTTATCTGTTTTGAACAGCTTTATCAAACCATTAGAGGACAAAACAATGAGAGACTGCTTTCTGTAGTAAATTTAAAAAACAAAATTAAAAAGTAAATTTACAGAAATAGAACAATCATACTAAACATATGATGATGTCTAAGCAACATATCTTAAACATTTTAGACCAAATAACTTTGTATATGTGTGTGTTCTAACCAAGGCCTTGAATTAAATGTCATTTGAGTAAAGTGGATAATTGGATCCTCCTCGTAAGTGGAAACATTTCAAGAAAACGGTCAATTTCCTAGAATTATGCCTGTTTTTAATTTTTGCCAATTTTCCTTCAAAAGTAATACCTGTAATTGTAAACAGGCAGAAAAATAGAAAGACTAAGTCTTACTTAACATTTGCTTTGATGTTACAGGAAGTAAATGAATTTAAAAAAGGATATCTTTTAAAGCCAAACCTGATATGAAACTTTCAACAGCTTAAACCTATGGCATCTATGTTTATGCAGTCTTCGTACTTCACTGAAGCCAAAGCTATTAGCACCTGGGCTGTACTAGCCTCCAATCTGAAATATGGAGATGGTCACATGGGCATAGCCATCACCAATAAATCAGAGCCAACAGTGCCAGTTAGAATTACATAGTGGTCTGAAAAGAGTAAACATTTACTTAAAGCTGGCAGCAGGTGTTTCGCTCTAAGCCCTTGTGCTCTGACAGTATCTGGCTAAATGCACCACTGAGGGCCGTGTACTGGTTTGCTAGCTTCACACCTATTGTAAATGGGCAAACATTACTCAAAATGCTTAGCAGCTGCATGCAAACAAGGAATTTTGCCTGGACCCATAACATTACCATGGCAATCTACACACAGAAGGACACACAATGTCATAACAACATGTGATGGATCTGCACCACTTGCAAAAAACAAGAGGAAACTTGCCGTCACTAAGACTGGGTTCCAACCAGCCGCTGTGAACACATTAGTATCTTACATAAAGAAGACTCAAAGATTTTGTGTGACTTTCTAGTGTTTGTGAAGGGGTGACCTGAGGTCACAGCACTCCCTTTAAACCACGGACAAGTGTATGCAGACACACTGAAGGCATACTGTGACTTAGGCACAAGGTTTTATTAAAAGCAATGTAACAGACAAATGAAGGAGTTCTGGTCTTGTCATATGCTCAGGGACTCGCATACTTAATGAAGGGGAAAATACGAGTGAAAGCACACACTCCGACCTCTCCTGTAAAGTAACATGGGCATGAGCACAAGGAGCGGCTAGGCACTAGCTCTGCTCAGTCCCCAGTCAGGAGGGTTTGTTTTTTGACCTGGTCTGATGGCTTTCACAGCTATGGCTACGCTGGGGAGGAATTTCACAGCTTGAAACATGAGAGCCCTAACCAGAGATGGGGAAACTACTGTGAAGAAGGTCCTTGAACCTTTAGATAGGCACTTACTCAAAGTGGAATTCCAGAATGAAGACAGTATCATGTACCACATGTACAAAGTGCTGCATCACAGTTAATCAATTAAAAAAATACTTTACAGCTCAAAATAATTAGTTGGCAATATCTTTGACGAAAATGCAAATTGTAAAAATCTACTAGTATCTTTTAAAAATCATTTTAAAAATCTCCTGGTATCATATAACTTCAGTTTGACATTGGGATTTTAGTTTTTTACTATTTTTAGTGGTGTCCATTCCATGTTAACACAACAAACAGCACTAACTTTCATGCATTTTCAGTGTTTGACCATTTAAACCATGTGTGGTTCCAGTCTGAAGTTCTCTTGATAAAAGTTCCATTTACTGCCCTGCCGTGAATTTTCTTCATAAACAAAGTGAAATTACAAATTAGGGTCAAATTAGAGCAATTATTTAATAATTAATTGCTTTTCACTACAATAAGCTAGAGCGATTAACCGCACTTAACCACTGCAACAAAATTTTGGGCTGAACAGAACAACAAAAATGGTCGAAAATTAGTTGGGGAAAAAAAAAAAAAACTCATCCCATTACCTTAAATTAAAAGTATATATGTTTTTTCCTTCTCCTGTAAAGTTACAGTTTAGAGGTTTTGTTCAGCAACAGCAACACATTTTTTTGGTGCAATATCACATTTGCCTGTCCAGCAAATAAACAGAACACATACAGAATCACACATTACACTATAGGCTGCTATATCAACCTGTCAAAATCTTTAACCATCTCGAACAGGGATAGAAAGTGCTCATCCAAGTAATTCAATACTGCATGTCTATAATGCAGCATGTTAAAACAATACCAATATGATATTTTGCTTTCACCATGCAAGGTAACAGGAACCTGGCATAAATTATTCACATTGCTCTGATCATTACTGGGACATATCACTGATGGAATGAAGCACATTTGAAATCTAGAAGGTCTCATACCAATAAGCACGAACATCTGATACAAAGGAGGAAAGCTGTAAATTCACTGACAAAGCAAGCTAAACTTGGAAACCAAATCCACCCAGCCCAGTGGTGTTGACATTCAAAATGAATGACAAACCATAGCACTGTAAGGAATCCACTGGCTGAGGATTTGTAAAGGGGCTCTTCTTTCAGCTGCTTTGGCTCAGTATATGGTGTCTATGGTGGTTATTAATCTTATCAACCCCAGGGTTAATCTCAACTGCGGTTGAATGAATGTCTGAAATGGCTAAAGCTCAATCTGCCCTTGATCCAGGCTTGCTGAGGCTCTAACATTCCCTTCAATAGAGGCATGGTGAGGGAGATCCACTCAAACTAAGCCCTCTACAGGGTGGCTTATTGTGGCAAGACTACGATCACCCCAAACTCCAACCACTGCGCTCCACATAACACAGAACAGACACAACTATGCAAAATATCATTAATCTTTTAGAGCTATTCATATTTGGCAGACAACTAGCAAACAGGGCTTCAACATAGCAGCTCTAAGAGTACATGATTTTTTGTTTGCATAATTACGTTTATAACATAAGTTATTGTTTGCAAAAATTTCAAAACTTAAAAAATTCAATTGATAAAAGGCCTGATTAGCTGACATCCAAACAACTACTTGTTACTATGACGTTTATGCAGTTACTGTACAATGATTATTTATAGGCTCTTATGTTACATGTAGTGTTTTAGAAGTACTGCGAATACCCATCATATACTCAGAAAAGTGTGTTACGTAATTTGTTAAGATAATAACATATCATCAAATTGCCCACCTCTAGCTCTAAATTTCCCTACATATTGACTGCAGCTGCTCTTTATGACAATAAACCAGCTGAGATACACGGTCAAAGCATGCGACTTCATACTACTTATGCCACAGTGCTGATGCTTGTCCGTATTTCCATTGAAACGGCCCGATGGAGGGGGATAAACCTATTAGCAATTCAGCCATCTTCAAAGGCAAGAGGCCGTCCAGCTAATCCTCATTAATTTGGGATTGTACCGGCAAGTGAAAGGGTTTGCTCACACAATGCAATGAACAGGGAAGGTGCCCTAATCCACCCTTTAGTCCTACACGGTGGTCACTGGCCTGACCCCGTTTCAACTGTTTCCTGCACAGGGCTCTAGGTAAGAGCAAAGCGCAAACTTCAACACTTCTGCAACACCTACTATTCAGGCTCATATGGTAAATAAGGACTGGGAAAAATAATTGATCTTTATATGCATCGTGATCAGACTTTTTCCTTCACTGGTCAGATGAACAACAAACACTATAAACTACATTGTGTATAATGTAACATAAAAAGATTACAAAAACCCATAGCTTATTTTTTTTCCTGTTTATTAGTTTTCCGTTAGTGGTGGGCAACACGACAATATTTTACAGTTATCATGAAAAAAAAACGTTATTGTGACAAGTAGCATGCTTTGGTGAGCATATTATAGATACAGTCTACATTTAAAGAACACTGACTAAGTGCATGTTTTATTGAAATAAAAGAATAACTAGTCCTGTTTAACTGGTTTTAGTGAAGGACAGTATGGGAAATGTCGAATAAAAGTCACTTTTGTCACTAGCGCATTGTGTGTCTCTGTGTTTACTTATCAGGATACATATTTTGTATTGTGAAAATATCTAAGTATTGTGATGTGATATTTCTGCCAAATCACCCACCCCCATCTTCAGGTTAAACCTATTCAACTGTGAAAGGAAGACGTAGCGTGTCATGTGTAGGCTACATTCAAACTCAACTAATGTTACTTGTGAATATGGAAATATATGGACGGTGGATCATAATGTAGGCCAGAAAAATCAAAGGTTAAGATGCATAAATAATTAGTTTATAATCACATCTTAGTACATCAAATAAAAAAAAATCACACAGAATCATAGGTACTTTAGGATTCCCAACCTTAAAATCTATGGCAACTATATAATGATCAGTGAAAATACAGTTATAAGGAGAATTTACTTTGATGAAAAAAGGACACATTTAGTATTGAATTTTATCCATTTTGTTGATTTTTGCCCTATACAAAATGATGCTGTCCACACTTTTGGCTACTGTTCACAGATTGATGTGGCTGAGCAGCTATTCTGTGAGAGCACAGACACAGCAGAAAGCTGAAAGCAGAAAGCACAAGCTAACTATTTTTGCTATATTCTCCTATTTTAACTTAAGCTCTGTATCCCTTACTGTGTGGAACTGATTGGGATCAATCTTCTAAATACAAGGTACTGTGA